CAAGCAAGAGGAACAAAGAAAAAGAAGCGCATAACCCCCAAACGACCCCAGCGCCTGAAATAACACAACACACACACACACACACACACACACACACGCACGCACCAAACCATACATACACCCCTCTTTTCGAACCCAAATCCAAGTCCAAGACCAACCAAGCCCCACAAAAATTTCCAAGGCTCCAAATCATTTCATAATGGGACTCTTTAAAAAGTCCAACTCTCAACCAGCACCCAAATCCAAACCCGGGCAATCATCTACGTCTATATCCGCACCAAACCACGCAAATGCATCAAATTCAAATCTCTCTACAACATCGACCCTCATCCCCAGCTCTTCTCGGCCTGCGCCCGCACCGGCACCTACTAGAAGAATGACATCCTACGAAGCCTTCCTCTCAGATGCCCAACAAACCGAGTGGAAGCGACAAGAGAAGTTAGACAGGGAAGAACGGACAGCGCGAGCTTGGGTAGCTGCGCGACAGCGGCGGGAGAATGGGAGGCAGGGCGATCCGTGGAGGGGCGGTTTTGGACCGCCTCCTGCGGGTGGGGGAAGTGATGTGGGTCGGTGGCTGGATCATAATGGGTTGGTGAAGAGATGAGGGATGGGTGGTTAACCTAAGAGGACTTTTTTTAATGTTAGCTTTCGTTTTCTCTTTTGGACATGAGTAGATCTATAATGGGCAAGAAGTTAAGGCATAAATGATAGAATGGAATGCGAACTTACTCTCCCACTCCCAATCCTTCATAACACCAACCCAGTGCATACGTCCTCTAACCGTAAGCTCTGGATCCATCTCCTCAGTTGCCGGCTCCATCCTCTTTTTCCCTCCTCCTATGCTGCCTAAAGTGTTCCTACGTTTCTGGCGGTCCCCTGAGCTTCCGGTTGAGTTTGCGTTCAACATATCTGAAAAGCTGAACATATCATCCAACGCAAGCTCTTCCTCAAACTTCCTCTTACTACTTTCACTATGCACCATTCTCACACCACCCCTCCTAGAATTCTCCTTCTCGGCCTTTTCAGCAGCATCGTTGTCTCGTCGAGACCACACCTCTTGCATGACCTCAAAACACCGATCGATATTCCCAATCCACATCCTGGACACCATACTACCCCACCTCTCCTCGACCCATTGTCTATCCTCGCTATCCCATGCTTCGCACCCAGCGGCAAGCAGCGGATATATCTGCACAATCACTAGTCTACTACTCAGCGGAACTGTGGCTAGATATACCAGGACTTTCTTGGCGAGTTGCGCAGATGTGAAAGAAGGGATCTCAGGGACTGCTTGATGAAGATACAACAGCGTAGCGTACCGATACGCCTCGGCAGTTTGTAAGGCATGTTGGATCTCACTCGTTGGATCTTCCGGTCGTTCGAAAGCCGAGCCAGGGGGAGGAGACCATTGTTCGATGGCTTCTTTCAACTCGATAGCTTGGCTAATTAATTGTATCGAATTTGTCTCAACTTTTCGCACCTTCCGGCACAAATTTGCTGCGCGGCCGATGAGCGGGAATAGAGTAGCTGCACAGCCCATCAAGGGATCGATCTCGGTATTAGGAGTAAAGGTGTTAAGCGCGGGGAGGATGTGGTCAAAATCGCTGTACTCGTCGTCATCTACGGATGTCAGACGTGCTATTACGTCCATGTATACCCACGTGTTACACAGGAATCTCAGACGCGCAAATTCATCGCCTGAGACGTTGCGTTTCTTGTGGGCAGTTAAAGCTTGATTGACCAAGATTTTGGCCCCTCGTAAGTGCTCGATGCCCGTACTGATGTGTTGGTCCCAGGACTCGGAGAAAGCGAGGACCAGGGTTGTGGCCAGCGCGGTGTCAGTACGCATCTTCTCGATGCCCGTTGCGAGGGATCGAATGCTGCGTCTCATATGTTCCATCCCGTCGACGCGAAGAGCGGGGCGTTCTTTTGAGGTGTGGAAGGCGGTCATGGATGCTATTGCATGGTATAATGCTGGAGAATCGCGAGCAAGAGGCCAGATTAATGTTCGCCAGGGGTTCTCAGTAGGGCCGTCTTTCACGGAAAGGATTCCACACGTCTGCTTGTCGAATCGAAGCATCAGCATTTCTGGACTCCCAGCTTGGACCTCTGGTTGTCGATATATCTTGTTGAACGGATCGTCTCTCGTCATGGTGGGAGACGCAGTCGAAGACCGTGAATGCTGACCCCTCAGGGACATCCACATATCCGCATCTGACATTTGTGGTCGTATAATCTCCTCTACATCCTCATCCAATATAGAATCATTCGGCATATCCATCTGCGGTAGAAAATGGTGATCCATCATAGGCGACATAGTCATACTGGTTGCTATACTCATAGGAGGCATACTAACACTCCCCGGCCTCGCATTCAGCTCCGAGCCTGGGATAAGCAGGTCTATTAGTCTCGGAGACTGTCCTGAGAAACTGGGCCTTGAACTCGTATTCGACGGACCCCCATTTGCATCTTCAAACAAGCTACTCAAGCTCTTGGTAACCGTATCCGCCTCAAATCTCGGTCTAGGTAATTCTCGCAGGTATGGAGGAGTACTCATATCGAACATGGGTGAGTGGTCAAACTGTATATCCGATAGGGGTGGGAAAGATGAAGGACTCGGCGCTGCGGCGTGGAAAAAGGAATCTTGCATGGAGATATCTGCTTCCGCCTCGGGCTCGTCGCCAGCTGGTGAAGATGTATCGGATGGAGGGCTCGTAACTGTAGCTGCAGCTGTACCTGGAGGATCGGGTGGTTTCTCTGATACCATAGAATCTGTAGAGAATTAGCATCTGCCATGATATATGCTTGTTGCTCACTCTACCTCTTTTTGATTTGGCTGGCGGCACCACCTTGTTTGCAAAAGTTGTCTCTTCGAATGGCCTCCATTTGAAGTCCTTTTTGTATCCGCCGCATGGAACACCCCTCTTGTGACACTGCTGACATGTCGGTTTCGTTTCGTCGCATTTTAATCGTTTTGCTTTGCACGTTATACATCCTGTACGTATAGTAAGTACCCCGCATCAGCCGCCTGCCTGCTGTCTTATCATTGCTAAGATAAGCCACTCAGGAGCATTGCAGACATACCATTGCGACTCTTGGACTGTTTAGGCTTCACTGCACCCGTCTTCTTCTTGATTGCAGCAGCGGCTTTGGTTGAAGTGGGAGCTGTAGGTTTGCGCTTTGGCGGTGGTGGTTCCGGGGCGGGTTTGGCGTCGGGTGATGCAGCAAGAAAGGCAGTGGGCGATGGAATTGTTATTGCTTCCATCTTGAGAGTTTCTTGTAGTGAAACATCGACACCGTCTGCGGAGTGAAGCTATTAGTGGATGTGATGTCTCGAGATGGTGATGATGATGTGTGAAGGAGGGATTATTATTGAGTAAAGGGGAATAGAATATTTCGGTCTGTGGTATTATCGCACTCCTCCCACATGAAAGAGGAGGCTTTGCAAGGCTCAGGAGATGATTGGCGGCCGGTGCGCATGTGGATGTAGATTGGCAGTGGGCAGAGACAGCTGGTTGGAGGAAAAGCATTAGTGGAGGACACCCTAGAATCTTCCCCCACTTGACTAACTTGGCCCTTGTTCATTGTCTTATCGCTGTGTCTTTAGGGCCTCTAGCCCGCAGACATCCCTCCAAATCGGGCTCATCTCATGGTTTCTGGCCTTTCTTAACATTCGCATGTCTTCTCGCGACTATCATCAGCCTCATTTCTCTCTCACAAAGCCGAATGCATCCCCTCTTCGGGTTCTCCACACGTCGCAACGCATTGCCAGGTTATGACTAAAGACGTAGATTCAGTGTGAAGGCCATCCTAGTCCAGACATGCTGAGCCTTCCAGTGATTCGCGGGCTGTTAGGGCGGGGAGATAACAGATGCGTTCGGTGGATGAGCTACTGTACGGGCCGGAAAGAAATCGGAATTCAGCAAAAGCACTCACTACTCTGCTTGTGCAGGAAACCATGACCATGGACGATGTCTGGTACAGTACTACACGGCCGACAGTTCGGGTGTCATGGTGAAGTGTGAAGTGCGAAGGGGAGGAAAGCAGAAGTGTTGGAGCGCTTCTGGGAGATCATATGACGATGGGACTTGCCATCTGACAATCGGACAATCCGATAACTGAGCATAATGAGCAGCCACAACTATTCAGAGCTAGATTTGCGGACAAGAGAGAGTGTGATCAAATGAGGCTGCATTGGATACAGATTGCGACAGATATGCGTATTAATATATGAGAGAAGAGCTTTGTAACATGTTTATCGCATTGTCTTCTCAAAGCTGTGCTGCTGACTAGATGAGCCGCGTGCGGCACTCCCGGTCTTATCGAGGCGAGTCACGTGCCAGTATACTTATCCTCTCCAGGAAGGCTTGCTTTAAGCGTCCTCCTTGGCAGGTCAAACCCAAGGCAACTCAGATGATCTATACTTGGATTTTTGGAAGATCCTTTCTTTGTTCCTCGACGTCTAATAATAATGAAACCCGAAACATCGCGGATACATAAAGTAGTACGACGTACGGAGTAACACTGCTTTTGCCGCATGTCGGCGATGTCTGTCATGCCATGCATTATCAAGCCTTGATCTACGGCCGGTAATCGTCTCGTCGTGGCTGTAACTCACATCTTTTGCTTCAGTTTGACACTATTGGTATATCATGTCCATCTTACCGGTTTTATAATTTGCCATGACACTATCTGTCCATCTCTACCGTATCTGATATGGACTTTTCCAGCCATTTCGATAGTCTCTAGCAAACCCTGTTGATGAGCGATGGGAAATCTCGCCAGGCCTGGGCATCGACGATAAAGCTTTCCAAAGAGTACTTCCTTCCCATTGGCTGTAGTGTCCGCCACATCTCGTGCACCGCCACAAAAGCTCGGCTGAAGCGGGGATTACTAAAATGGCTGGCGATCAAACACGAAGCGACGCTCTTTGACTGGGCAAATTGCGTACTCGCAGAGCTTCCCCCTGCCCTGTCTCTATGTGCGTGCAAGGGTACAACGCAACGCTCACACCAATTGCCGCTCGCGTGTCCTTGGTTGTCACTGCAACCAAGGAAGTGACAACCTCTAGAATGATCCAAAACGGCTGCGCTGTGTAGAAGCACTTCAGCTGCACTGCCGACTTAATAATTGGCCACCTTCGTTTTCACCTGAGCTCCCTTTGTTCTCGTTGCCTGCTTGCTTCTCTTCTCTCCTCTTCTTTCTATTCAATCAACCTAGCCCTGCCAAACCATTGTTATCGTCAGCCGCGTGCTGCACTGACTGTGCCAGTTGGAGCGGGTCAATTCAAGGATCAGGATCAGGTTCCCCGTCAGAATCAGGTGTTGATGGCCTGGCCTGCCTATCTACCGGTCGGTACAATATCTGCAAAGGGCCTTTCTGAAACGCAGCACAACGCTTTGAAAGCAAGGCAGCTTGCTTCTGTTCAAATTAACTTGAACTTCCAATTCCCTCATACATGCTTCCCGACAACCCCCAGAACCTTGCAGTAACACGCTCCATCGCTCCATCCAATCTGCATCGTGGCCTTGGACTACGACCTTGATCTTTAGCCCAGTACTTTGTCACATCGGATATCGACCTCGCCTCGTCTTAGCATTTGCATTGACTTCACCCCTCCCCTCCTCCATTCTCCCCACCCGCCCAATCTGCGACCTCTCTTTTCCTTTCTACAGTGCTCAAGTGTGTGTGCCGGGAATGAGGATGGAAGGTGTAAAGAATACATAAAGTGCTTTTCCTTTATTTCTTCGTTATGGGACAAGAACAATCAGCCCCCGCCCCAAGACGGGCAACCAACAAACTCTCGAAACCTAGGACAAATACGAGTGGAAACCTAATATCGAAAATCCCCGGCGGACCTCCTAGTCGCCAAAATTCACAGTCGAACCATGGCTCCCCAACCAAATCGAGAAACAGTTTGTTGTTGCCGGATATTAGTGTTAGCGAGGCTGGGGAGAAGAAAGAGAAGCCTCGAAAACGAATGAGCCTGTTCAGGTCCAAGAGTTCATGGGGACAAGCAAAAATCAAAGCATTGGAAGTAGTGGACACTGGTGTTGAGCAGGAAACCGTGGACCCAAGCCCTGTCGATAAGCCTGTTCGCAGAAACTCAAGAGCGAACTCCGTGACCTTGGACGATCAAGAGTCTGATGAAAGCTTTAGGTACGACCCCCTTCAGTGTTCGGAGATCTTTCTAATGCCATTTCCTAATAGACCCCCCAATCGTTCACGAATGACATTACAGCATTTCCCATACCAACACCATGCACGATTATCACTCGTTGCCGAAGCCCAATCACCAGAGTTGCAGAAGGATGATTCGAAAAGGCTGTCAAGATATGAAGAGGAGGTAGAACCACAAGTCTCACTACCAAGGACAATGTCAGAGCCAGCATTATACGTTCCAATACGACGGCGATCATTACTCCAGCATGGAGTAGCAACAAGAACAAGTCTATTCTCCCAGGATGATTCCCGACAGTCTCTACCTTCACAAACACAAGCACAAGCACAAGTACAAGCAGATGATTTTCAAGACTATTACTACAATTCTGCGAAATCGACGTCTTCCCCTTTGTCGAATATTGCAGCGCTTGGACGACAAAGAGGAAATGGTTCTCCCGGTCCGCGGGTGGCAACTCCCACGGATATGGATTATGGACATACTGGCGTGTTCAAGTTGGGATCATTAAGGATAACAAATGGCACTGCCAGTCCAGCACCTAGTGATGGCCGACCTACAACTGCTGGAGTGGAGGACGATCACTTGACCCTTGGTGGTAGAAAGAGCGGAGACGGCCTTCATCAGAACGTTTTGAGCCAAACCCTACCCCATCCAGAACTCATACGAACAGAATGGGTGACCAGCTCAGAAACTCCGTTGAGACAAGCGCACGAAGTGGAGATGGAGCCTCTGACCATTAATACCCAGCTGCCCATTCCAGATCATGCGCTTAGTTTGTTCAAGTTCAGTAGCAATTCTCCGGGCAAGTCTCTGGATTTGGCAAATGAGTACATTCAAGATCTGGCACTCAGTCCATTCTCGTTCGAGGTTTCACCAGTTGGTTCTCCAACGTTGGAAGCGACGAGCAAGCATATGGCTGTAGATGACGATCTATTCGAACCAGAGCCGAACTCTCCAAATCCAGGGGTTTCGGAGCATGAACCGAGCTCTTTAGATTCTGGCTACGGGACAGGCGAGTCAATGAAGAGTAGTTCAAGTTCTCGCGAACCTTCTATGAAGCCATTGACAAAAGCGGATAGTGGATATAGCTCGATTGTTTCGTCAAAATCTTTGAACAAAGATACAGCGCCGACAGTTCCAGCGAAAGAAGCACCACCTACACCTCCCAAGGAAGCAGGATCGAGAATTCCATCAAGCACGTACTCGATTTCATCGCAAGCGTCGGACGTAACCCTCCGCGCTCAAAGATCCCTACCTGCTCTACCGACTCAGGATTATATTCCTCCTCCGCCCTTTCGAGAGGCTCCAAATGTTCCTCAGAAGCATTCTATAGTGTTCCAGTCAGCTCCACAAGCTTCAGAACTCCGAATGAAACCGTCTAGGAATATCGATCAAACGTACGCACGCCAGCAAAGCCTACCTAGTATTCCAAAAGCCCTCCACGAGCCGCCAGTCTTGAGAGAGAAATCTTCCAACTCTGGTGACTCCATGTCATCCAACGGCTCAAAATGGCGTTCCAACAAAATGCATAAGCAACGTCCGCAATCATACCAACCAGCATCCGTATTCACAATCCAGGCAGTAGGCAGCGAAACACTCAGCATCCCACCTGTGCCAGCAGAAACTTCTCGCAAACTTGAACAGCGCGTGGATGGATTTCCAGTGGTCTGCTTCCCGAATACTGTAGCAGGGACTACGGGTTTGAGAAAAAGCTCGAGCAAAGAAACACTAGGAACCATTTTCTCGGTTGGAAGTGCCGAAGTGAGGGAAGAGTTAAGTTTCGCACGCCTGCAGAGTGCACTACCACCCGTACCAGCGTACGCCAGCATCCCGGAATATGCGCCTATACCACCAGAGCAGAAGCCTGACTTCAACAGACGAAAGACGTATCAGCCGACATCCTCTACCCACATTGCTCCTCGTAAAGGTTTTGATGGAAGGCGATCGATGGAAGCCACTCCAAAGAAAAGCTCAGAGCAGCAACAAGAAGATTTTGAAGCCCACGTAACGTCATTCGATAACATCTCTTCTTCCCTCGGCTCCTCACCCTACTCTATCGCCACCCAACCTCAAAGTCCCAACACAAGAGCCAAATGTCTAACCTCCCAATTTGAAGCCAACACCGCAGCTCAGTTTCAACGTTCTCGGGACGTCTCAGCCGCATCAACCATGCTCCGAGAGAAGCAGTCCTACGATTCAATAGCAGCAGGGAATCCCTTCTCGTCAAATCAAAACACAGCCTCGCATTCAAGAAAGAGCTCAAGAGAACACCCACCACAAGCACATTCCAACGCTTCTGTAAAACGTCCTTTCGCTTTCGCTCCTACTCCGCCTGTTGTACCCACACTCCAATCTCTTCTTGCCGAAGAAAGGGAAAAGGAAAGGCGGTCTCCGCCAGTCAGCATGCGAACGCGAAAATCTCTCCCTCCACGAGCACATGCAGCCCCTCAACTACCGCCTCAGCAAACCGAGACTGATGAATGGGCCAAGCCAGCCAATTTTTGGGCTGAGCGCAGACAGAGCGCAGGTGAGACCCTGCAGACGAGAAAGAGTATGGAGATGAGTCGACCCGGCAGCGCTCGACCCAGCGTCGAACAAGTGCGCCCTACACCGCAAAGATTGAAAACATTTGGGAGTTTCGACCATGTGCAGCGGGCGGGATGGGAGAGCGATCACGCCAATACATCATATTCCCTCGCGTACTCTCATCCTTTCGCTCCTGCCCCTCAAGCGGAAGGAGGAGAGTATTACGACCAAGATGACGACTCATTCCTCGCTCCACATATCCCGGAGCGTAACCACGCTCGGAGTAATAGTACTGAAGACATGCTAATCTTGGATCGGTATACAGGCGGTCTTGGCTATGGGTTTGAGGACAGGGGACTTGTGGGGAGTGCGGGGACACGGAATAGCGGGAGTGGGGTTTTGAGCGGGCAATGGGCCGGGAGGAAGGGCGAGATGGGGGCCAGGGAGTGGGGGGTTGATTTGAGTGATGTGCCAATCTTTTTGCAGCAGAGATCTAGCATTGATCATTGAGGGGATCATATGATGGAGTGGATGGGGTTGGGAAAAGGGGTGGCAGGGGTGGGAGGGGCCGGGGGATTTAGGGAAGGAAATAAGTGGTTAGCTGCTTGGTTGGTTGGATTGGGACGAGGGATTGGAAATTGGGATTTTACAACGATACCCTTCTGCATACTGCATACAGTACATGCTGCATTTTTCGGTCTTGGACATACCACACAGGGGAGTTTTGTTTTGCATATTTGGCGCGATGCGCAGGCGTAATCAAATAGCCGCGATCCTTTCCTGCCATACATGCATGTATGTACAAACGAGATGCCATTCATTTGGATGAGATTGGTTGTAAATAGCCGAGTAAGTGAAATGGAATGATTGGATATAATCTTATATAACAAGTGAGTGGTGGTGCTTGTGTGATTTGGAGGTGAGCTTTATGCTGGAGGTTAATAGGTGGGTGGGTGTAAATAAGAATGAATACCTGGTAACGTCTTCTGCTTATATGAAGGATAGACGTTAAATGACATACATATATGAAGGGGAGGTACTGTAGCTAATATAATATAAATTCCATACATAGATCTACTCCGAGACCGAGCTTCAAGGATGCTTTTATTAGAAGCGTTCTTTTTTTCTTCTTGTTTTGCATACCTAGGTAGAGTAGGCATCTATTCCAGCCAGGCGTCAGGAAGGAAGTGAAATGTTTGCTGTTGAGTGATCTTTCATTGTTATTAAAGATTCTTCGTTCGTTCCTTCATTCGTTCACCTGTGCCTACGTACTGAAAGCGCTGAACCTTATAAAAAGAAACACGTAGATGGAATTGGACCTGATGGGAAGAGTCGATTGTAGTTAGAAGGAGAGAAGAAGAGCCTGGAGATTCACTTTCTTCGTCTAGTTGCTTTCCCGTGGTTTTGGTGTTGCGGGCGGGTAGGTGGAAGACGTGGACTGGCGCTTTAGTTTTATGTGGAGGAATTCGGGGGAAGTGAGGGGGTGGGGGGGTAGTGAAGTGGTGGATTGATTAAGCGGTGTTTGATAGTTCATCAAGGATTGAGGATTGGGTGAAATGGAATGGAATGGAATGGATCGATTGGTTCTATTGGGCGCAGAAGATAATAATGTGAACTCCTGAGAGATTTTTGATGGCAGCTTTGGTTATATCTTCCCTGCTAGATAATATTTCAATTTTAGCTGCAAGGGTATAACCGTATAGGTCTAACCATTATTTGTAAGCCCTGAAGTTGAATCGGAAATCATTATCGTGTATCTAGAGACGTGCTTTGATAGATGTATATAATGAAACAGATTTAGGTAGCAGAATGATTCCTTAAAATGAAAGCTTAAGCTAATAATGTACGCTCCGTCGCTCCCGCGAAACTTTCCGAAGTGTTTATCCCGAAGCCCACGAACGATAGTCGCCATATCATGCGTAGCTACGCCAAGTCAAGCAGAAAAAAATCTCCACTGCACTCTGCTAGATAAGTAGATCGAAAGGATAGGTTATCAAGCAACTACTTGCTGTCATTTCTTGGTTGAAGCTAGCCTCTGGCAACGATCAAGTCTCAAGAAGCATTATTTTCATTGCTTACCATAACATAATGAGAATAAATTGCCCTTCGCCGCAATTGCATTCAAGATACTTAACATCACAACTCGCTCAAAACCCTCCTAACAATAGTCCGCAAATCCTCCTCCTCCAACCCTAGGCACTCCGCAGCATTATCCTCAATAGCGCCTCCCGCCCCATCGCCAAATACATGCCGAATAAGATATTCAACAAAAGCGCTACTGTCACCCCTAGCCATCTTCTGGTCCCCAATCTTCTCCAAGTCGGAAGTCGCAACCGGGATAACCTGGAACCTCTCACCCATCTCCTCCTCGACAATCTCTAAGATTTCGCGCTGCGAGGTAGTGCATGAAGCAACCGTCAGATACTTGTTAGCTGTCTCGGCAGGTTTCCTCAAGACTGCAGCGACTGCTTTCCCGACGAAAGACAGCGTGCTGGGGGAGTACAACTTGTTTCCAGAATCGTAGATCCTAGCCGATTTGTTCTGGAAATTTATCCCGAACATGTTGGTTTTGAGACTCTGTCCGACGGTGTTAGTGTTTATCAGCATATTGTACATATGTATGTACTCGGTGGAATGGGATACAGGGTATTGTAGTAATCATCCATTCATGAGTAGGAAGGTATGCTCGAAGATAACACAACATACCCAATCAATAAACGACCCCGTCGAAAGCGCCGTCCACGTAAACCAAGTATACTTGCCCGCTAGCTCCCCAAGAAACTCGATAATCTCTCTTTTCTGCCCCAGCAGCGCTCCGATCTTCGTACCACGGGCCCCGGCCAAGTCGATGCCGAATTCAGAAGGCATGAAGCGGGGGACTCGCGTGGCGACTGCGGCGTCGATGATGCGTTTCTGCTGCGCGCCCGTTGCTTCTGTGGTGATGGCGCAGATGACGGCGTCTTGGTTGCGGAAGGCTGCGATGAAGGGGTTGGAGTTTGGTGTGTATGTGCGGTAGTTTACTCGCGCGATGGTGACGCTGGGGGGGAATGTGGATGTGGATGTTGAGCTGGTGATGGCGGTTACCTGGAAGCCGGCGGAGAGAAGGGCGGTGGTGATGGGGATGCCGACGGTTCCTGAGGCCTGGAGATGTTGAGAGGTGTTTATACTAGGTGGTACTGAGGAGGAACTTACTCCAACTACTGCGACATTGTTAATTGAAGACATGGTAAAGAATAATAAGAGGAAGTCGATTTGGAATAGGCGTGTAAGAAATGGTTGTATTAGATGGGTATTGGAGCAGCAGAACAACGCGGGAATGAGTTTATGAGAGCTTGTTGAATGATTTGTAGAGTTATTATTGACTTGATCATTAAGACCTAGAAACGGGGAAGCCTGATATATATGGAGAGAAACATTCTATTGTGCATGCTGGATAGACCCACTGTAGCCCCTCATTGACGCTTCGTAAGCTCGGAAATCCCACTGGATATTATTAATGTAGACATCTGGGTAAACCCGCTCCAGTAGCCAGATTGGGAATAAATCACTCCTCTGTGGATGCAATACTCTCCTACTCTTCCACTTCCCTAGTTCTTGTCCACGACCTTCTTACCAAATAGAAGCCCCCGCCAATGATCCAAACTAGGACCAATATGCCCGCCTGCACAGGAGCGAAGATGGCACCCCGCACGACGATAAACCCGCTCACCACCACGAAGACTGCTGGAATGAGAATAAAAGGCTTATATGGCCTCTTCAGGTCCGGCTCACGGTATCGCAAGACGATTGCGCCTAGGACGGTCAGGAAGAAGAACGAGTATTCGCCCAGACCATTGAACGTAAGAAGGGCGCGGAAACTTCCAAAAAGAATGTACAGCGTCGAAAGTATAGTGGAAAGAAGCAGAGCATTGAGAGGGGCGTCTGATTTGTAAGTTTCCGGTGGGTCAGTCGATTCCGGATCTGAATTGGACGTGGCGCCGACCTTGCCAACAACAGCGAAGAAACGAGGGAGCCAGTTCATGTTTCCAGCGGCAACTGTCATACGGCCAGCAACGAATGAGTTTCCTAGGAGTGCTCCCGCAACTACAAGGCAGACCAAAATTGCAGCTACGATACCAAAACCATGTCCTAATAGTCGAGTTATGGCGGCCTGTCATTTTCGATGTCAGTAGGATGATCTTGATTCTGTCATGTGAGGCTTACCACGGCCACGCTGTCTGTCGTAGAAACCAAGTTCCAGGGAAGAAGTATATAGTAAGCTGCATTTGCTGCAATGAAGCAAATGATGATGGTTGGAACAGAAGTGTTAATAGCGAGTGGGAGCTGACGGGCTGGAGACTTGAGCTCAGCCGAAATGTAAACCGCCTAGATGATATGAGCTACTTCTTTCTCGGTGGAGGGACGACTCACCTTGTCCCATCCTGAATACGCCCATAAAGCTCCATACAGCGCTGTAGAGTAGTGCCCAAGGATCTCCCATTGACTCAACATTTCCCATTCAATGATACTACCGTCAGGTAACACACTATCCCTAAACCCAAACCAAGACTTTGTCAACCAGTCCCTGCCCCCAATATTCCTCTCCGGATTTGAAGCTCCAATGATCAGAACGACTATCCCCGCAACTACAACTCCCAAGATGCTGACAAATTTGGTGACGACGAAGAACTTGTTCAGTCGGGTACTAGCTTTTGTACTAATGGAGTTGGCCCCATTTACGAGAAGCAGGACGAGGACAGACAAGAGCTTGTGCTCAATCCTCCCAGCTTGATCAGCTACACCTGCAGCGGAGAAAATGCTCTCGATGAAGACGATGCTCAGGATTGCAAGCGTGGCTGGCATAACAGCAACGATCCACGTCCAGGCAGCCAGAAAGCCGAAGATGTCGCCGAAGATACGCTTGAGATATGGTTGGACGCCCCCTAACAACGGGTTTAGTCTGTGCATCTATTTGATATGAAGATGGGTCTATGTAACAAACCTTCCCCCGGAATTGCAGTCCCTAACTCTGCCAAGGTACTTGCTCCCGTCCAAGCCAGAACCCCGCCCAGGAGCCATAGCACCAGCGCGACACCTGGCGAGGGAACATTTGCATCAATTGACCCGGGAGATGTGAAGATGCCACTTCCGATGACAATGCTTATGATTATGGCAAAGGCGTCTACCGATGAATTAGTATGACAGTTGAATTGGGGTAGGCGCCAAAGTGCTATCTCGAGGAGCCGAAATCCACGTATCAGCGTATCAAGGAACACAATTCTTTGGCCCCTCCCAGCTCTTGTCGCTGGGGCTTATATGTATAGAATAACATAGCTTTTGGTATAGAATTTGACTGACCTATGGCACCGAGATTGCGCGTGAATGTACCACGCTCTGATTGTTCGGATGATGCGACTGCAATCCCATCTACTGTGCCATACTCAGTTTCTCCGCTATCTGCGAGGAGCGGCGTTTGAACCCCGCTATCTGGATCGTTGTCTAATGACATTATATAAATGTGTTTGTTTGATTTCCGGTGCAGAAAGTTCGCATGAAGATGGCGAATAATAGCGTGATCGAGATCACGTGTAAGAGTCACTTCTTTTCTCGGGTGCTAGTATCAGAGTTAGGCAAGATGCCCTTCAAGAAGGAAACAAGTAAAGTATATTGAAGTCTAGCTATTTAAAAGAGCTTTATATTAAAATTTCCATGTTCAGGTAACGATTATCACGTGCCCGGCACCCCTTCTCAATCTAGCTATTCACTTATTCTTTTTCGTCTTTAATCCAACTTCTCGCTAATAAAATGGTCTAATATACTGCAAGAAAAGAAAAAGTTATATTCAGCTCCTTGCTTAAAATAAAAAATTGCAAAACTCTTTTCGTAATCTGTCCCACCATCAAGAGAATCTAAGCTCTTTCGTATAGGGGTTGAAAGTTTTTAATCTAAGTGGGTGAAAATTAGCAAGACCTTCTATCACCCTCTATTATCAGGCGGCTAGTAAATATAGTCTCACTAATTAAGAACCTGAAAGTCATTACGGATTGGACTTTTGCTAGGAGCTAGTTGGAAGGCTTGGTGGAATGTTAGTTGTTGGTTTTATTGCTGATTGTCTGTTTGGTTGCTGGATTATTAGATGGTTTGATTTGCTTCGAAAACTTTTGGTGTTATTTGGGACTATATAGGGTGAATGTGTGGTGTCGAGGTTTGACTTTTTGCGGGTAGGTTATTGCAAATATGGGCCAGTAGATGAAGTCCATTTAGTCTTTTTTACACACGCTTATACAGGTACGAGTGTTTAGAAGATATTATCATTACGATATAATCAGGAGAAAGCAAAACCTAAACGCAGCAAACACCTTTACACCCCGCAATACGAACCAAATCGTGGGGTATCTGACTAACGCCTTCCATAAACTTCATATTGCTCCTGCAGCCAGACTCCGGCATTCCTCTCTTACCATATCAAGTTGATAAGACGGCTGGTACGATCCAAGATCATGTAGGACAAAAGGATGGAGGAAGCTACACCAACAGCTGTTAGTGAAGGTCCCCAGCAAGCAAACCTGGTGAACCCGAGGCGTACATACCTCGCATCCCCGCAAAAAAGCACTATCCATGTCCCATCCATGCCGATACGATACGAGGTAGATATATCGAAGAGCCTCTGCTCCGCTTCACCCTTAGCATGGCATGTTCCATAATGCCAACCCCGTCAATCCACCCGCCCCCACAACCGCACACTCCAATGAAGCGCACCCCCCAACCCCTCCCCCACGATGTCGCCATAACGCCCCACCCTCGCCTCACTCAGAACCCAGGTCTGGCCCAAGGACTCATATTCACCGCGCGTTTCCTCCTCTCTGCTTCCTCGACCTCCCTCGCCTTCTTCTTCTCCTCCTTCTCGGCATCTTTCCTCGCCTTGGCCAAGAACTTGCCGTAATCGTCGGCGGACTCAGTGGCCATGCACGCGGTGGGCTGCACTTTGGATTCGGCGTCACCTTGCGACTGCGAGTCGGTCGAGGTGATGCGGAAGACGCTTGGCTTGGAGGTTTTGGACGAGGATTTCGACCGGGAGCGGAAGTTTTTGAACAACATGGTGATGTTCTAAATGCCTGTCGGCGCGGGCGCGGGCGCGTAAGGGCAAAGGCGTAGGTAAGTAGGTTGGTACTGTTAGTCGTCCAGTATTGGTTTTTTTTTTTTCTTCTAGTTCCCAGAAATGACGATTAGAAGATTACAGGAATTCAATTATGACTTCTATTCATCGCCGAACCGAAGTTGTGGCTCGAGTCACAAAGAAACCTGTTTCGACCGCTGACCGCTGACCGCCAACCGCCAAACTTGTCCTTCGTTTGGACCCGAGTCTGTCACCCCAACCACGAAGCTCGACCAGTCAGTCTCTTCGTTGCGCAACTTGACGGCTTCACTTTATTATTCCAGCACCGCCAAAGTCAGAAGGAGCAGGCAGGGTACAGGCAAGAGGAAAAGAAACGAAGCCAAGACTGTGGGGTTTCATGCTCTTAAGAGTCGCAAACTCTTTCGAAAACCCATCTATCGAATGAGGCCACTTCTGCAATTGACCCGTTACTAGAATAGGTTTAGGGTGGACAAAGAAGAGGGAAGATGCGAGGGTCGGGGAGAACTAGGCGTGGTAGTCTGTTATCGGCGAGTCGATTGAGGGGAGTGTCAAATGTTTTGCTGCCATTTTGCGTCGCGTGGAAATTGTAGCATCTGGTTGGCGCTCTAGAGGGATAATGGCGTTTGTGGCGACAGGGATAAAGATACGGTAAAAGAGGGAAACGGCACGTGATACGTGATGTACCCCTTGCTCGACGCTCGCTCTATTCGCTAATTGGCAGCATCACAGAACGTTGTCCTTGACTAATGCTCTCACTGACCACTGGATACTTGGGCTGACCATTATTAATGCTTCCTTTCTTTGAGTATGTCTCCGTAGCCGCGCTATTGCCGTTCAATACAATTCCAATTTTTGATCCAAACACCTTTTGGTAATTTCACCGTATTAGGCAATGTCTCGCGCCCACTAGAGCTTTAGTATAACACATTTTGTGATATCTCAAAAAATAACTGCCTACATACTCCCTTTACCGGAGAAAAATATATTTCCCATAAACGGGAATCCCCTTGGTCCTGGTGGTAGTTTCCATTTCCCCCCCCCTGGGCGGCGCTGGGAGCTTGTTGACTAGTCTAAGCAGTCTATGAAGGCCGAAGAGAATCGAAAGGATAAGAACAACAGTAGTGTAACATATGATTTAAAACAAGTCAAACTGTAGTAATATGAGAATGTGAGAAAGCCTGCGCAACTAGTAAATTAACGCAAAGTTCAGATGCTAGACGTTGAAGAAAGCAGATCTTACCGTACTGGCCCTCAGCTTTTATCTGTTATAGTCAAAGATAAACTCTTCAACGTGCGGTGGAACGGTCCGCAAGTGGACAATTTGGATATTGCGGAGAAAACAGAGATAGATTTTATCGGAAAATATCTACTGCAGGATACCGGCCTTATCAACCATTTCAGTGTAGTTTCACATATACTACTACAGCAACCTCACGTAAGTGATTTGCTCTTTCGCCTCTTCTCGGATTCCGATGTTTGTCATCTCTCTCAGGCTTCCTAACAGGTAATACGGGTCCAACCCGTGGCGGTGACAGGCGGCTATTCAACCCATTAAGAAATAGACGTGAGGTTACCCGTGAATGTATAATAAGGGTTTCGGGTTGAAAAACGGGTATCCGAGCTAGTGGCCAGAATATTATAAAGCTGGCCCGAGAGCTAATAGGAGGCCCGTCTCATATTTCTAGCCCCGCTTGAACTCTACTTACGTATTCTCAGATGAATACTAGGCATAATTCTAGCTCTTATATAGATTATACGAGGGGACAATACTAAGTCTTGAACTTGCAGGTATGCTAGTAACCGGAAGGTCTATATTCAATCCGATGAAAGTCTAGTCGGATGATATTCAAACATCTCTCACATGAATACCCGCGGGTTGACCCGTATTTATTAAGAAGCCTGATCTATCTTATTATGGCTGATTCATCCAACCCTATACTTTGACCGCACCGCTATTCTAGATGCAGGTTGTTATAGCGCAACAAACGTAGCCGATAGTTTCGTGGATGGCTTCTGAACACCATAGAATTTACCTCTTCGCAGTGAGCTTTTGTGCCAAAGCGCCTAGCTTCTAGCGGCGGATGCCTTTAAGCTCGTTATTGTTGATATCCATATCATCGGGGTCCGCAATGCGGCAACTGCGGACTACGGCCCGCAGAAGCCAATACCTCCGCATAGTCTTTTCACCGGATAAAGTTCCAATTAAGCATAATCGTATGTAAAGGCAGGTACGGTAACAAAGAATATTCGTATCTAAGTATTCCATGAATTAGAGCAAATTGCATTGACAGTTCGCCTCAGACGATCAAAGTCAAGCTGCCGCAATTCAAGCAAGCTTTGAATTGACTCCCATTTTTATGGCGACTCCTTCAGATTTGAATATCCCTGCCTCTACCAGGACCGTAGTCGTCCAAGTTGTAGATACAATGTGCTGGCTCGATGGCTGCCCTACTGCTGGATTTATTGCTCCGATTATGATTTATAAAGGGATTTGATAAAATGTATGCCGGAGCATTTGTATTTCTCATAACTCATATAAATGCTACTGCCGAGAAAGTCAGCAAACTGGTATTCGACCTTGGTGATCCGAAAGATATCGATGGTGATCTACCACCTGCAACCTCAGAACTCATCAAGACTTGGGGTACAACTGTTACGGTTGATCATAGTAGCACATCAAACCTCATAACTGGCACCGACCTTCACAGCTCACTATTCTTCTGTGTCTCCGAGACGGCGCCGAATCCTCCCACTGGAAGGTTTTAGGAGATTTTAAAAATGCAATGCAAAAGCTGGGGAGAAACAATTGCTTGGTGTTTGTAACGGATTTGAGCCAGAGCTGGTAAACCCATACTTTACTCATTTTGGCCCCTAATGAGAGAAAAATGAGAGAAACAGGGAGGAGAATAAAAATAGCACATGAATATGGGAATTGGGAGGCTTTTATGGCACTGGATAGCATACACATTTAACAATCGTGACTTATAAATGAAGCAGGAATGACTGAAAGGGGAAAATTCTGCAGGTCTGAACGCCAAGCTCTTGTGAAGGGGGAAGGGCACATCAGACGAACCGCCTGCACGTGGTTGCTAGGTAGTATTGGCCATACTGTATGAGATGGAGATTTTAGAGTACTCACAGACCAAAAGACCATGCAAAGTGGAAGATCAGAAACCCATAAAAAGCCCACTTTTCATGCATCTCACCCTCCCCTTAGCTCTGATCGACACCAATGTTTTCAGGGATGAAGGATATTACCCCCATTAATAAATGTTAATGATCCTTCACCCCACCGCGTAAACAGGGAAAATGAGCAAATGATATCACAGTTACGTGGACCTTACAAGGACCTTACAAGTACGTACCCTTCACTGGCCAACCGCAAGGGCTCTGGCCATTCCGTTCTATACAGTAGGATTCTACGTATTGAGGAGACTTTACGTGATTTAACATTTATTAAGGGGAGGGGATAGTACTGTATATCGTGCTTTATCCACGTGATATTGATACAGATTGGGAGTTGAAAATCTGAAAGCGGTTATCGATTGCATATCGGAGATCTGTCGCAGAGCCAATGAGGCTTCAATATCCCTCTTTTCGGTAACATACAAGGGGTTGGTGATCCCGGGACTCAGCCAGCCTCAGCCAGCCCCCTACTCTCTAGCGTTGCTTCCCCCGAGCCGCCACGAACATCAACATTTAGGACGGGACACCCACCCACCTGTGGCGGCTGCAGCCTCCAAAGCATCAACATGCGCTTGGGTCGATTGAAGAACCATCGAACATGAGCCTCACCGATGTTCTGTATGACCTAAGAAGAGATCTCGTAAGTCTGGTACTTCCGAGAAGCGCTCTTGAAGTTTCTGGACCGGGGACGATAAGCCCTGGCCCACCCTCACAGTCCTTGAGCGTCAACGCTAACAAAATTCGCCAACAGAACCAAAGCAGTGATCCCAGAGTTGGGAGTGCACGGGATAATGCGACTGGGACCTCAGTATCACGAGTTCCTACCCAGGGCACTAATTCCTCCTCGTTTGCGACTCTATTCACGACCTTTGTGCCCCTCGCAATCTACGCCGTGATATGTATCGTGATATTCTTCGTCTTGCGTCGGAAAATTCCACGAGCGTACTCCCCAAGATTGTTTTTGAGCAGTCTTGACGTCTAGTATGTATTTCATAACATATATCCCATCCCCCGGAAACTGTGATCTTACCATACTTTGATACATTTACCTAACTTTGCAGTGAACGATCCCCCACTCTACCTTCTGGGTGGTTTAATTGGTGTAAACCCTTTTACCAAACCCCAGACACGGTAGTACTGAATCACTCATCACTTGATGGATTTCTCTTCCTTCGATATCTAAAGATCCTCTGCGTAATATGCGGAGTTGGATGTCTCATAACGTGGCCGATACTTCTCCCCTATCATGTCCATGGAGGAGGGGTCAACGTTCAACTGGATTCACTAACATTTGGAAATGTCATTCATCCGAGCTGGTTCTATCTGCATGCATTTTTGGCCTGGATATTCTTTGGTATGCTGAGCCTACAGTTGCAGACGACGGGCTAATATAGATAGGCTTCATCATTTATATGGTGACTCGAGAATGTGTATATTTCATTAGTCTACGCCAGGCTTACCTTCTGTCTCCACTATATTCGGCCCGCCTATCTTCAAGAACTGTTCTTTTCACATCGGTTCCCCAACACATACTGGATGAGCGGAAACTTCGGAGGGTGTTTGGGGATACTGTCAAAAATATTTGGATCCCCCGAGAAACCGATGATTTGGATGAGCTAGTAAAGGAAAGAGAACAAACAGCAGAGCGTTTGGAAAAAGCAGAAATTCTGCTGATCCAGAAAGCAAATGCCGCGTACAGGACAGCTGTTGCACATGGCCATCCCGATATCCATACTGGACTCGAGTCCCCAGCAACCGGCTTTTCTAAAGAGGTCGAAACTCAGACCAATTCTGTCAGCCCTACAAGTTCATTCAGCCCAATAATGCCGGCGAGTCCAATGGGTCCAGGCACCCCACAAGATAATCCACGTACCGATGGAACGCCCATTTCAAAACCGAGCTATGGATTCAGTAGCCCTTTGTCAGATGTCAACGGCTCAGTTGCATCTCAATGGATACCCCACAGCCAACGGCCAGTTCATCGACCTATAGCAAATTACGGAAGAAGGGTTGATACCATCAAGTGGACGCGGAGTCGCCTCAAGGAGCTCGCCCCAAAGATCGCCAAGCTGCGTGCTCAATATCGAAAAGGCAAAGCCGTGCCTATACCTGCCGTGTTTATCGAATTCCATACGCAAGTCGATGCACAGAGCGCATACCAAACATTGGCCCATCATCGTGCAAATCATATGGTCCCGGAAATTGTCGGCGTACGGCCACAGGAGATCATTTGGTCGTCACTGAAACTTCGATGGTGGGAAAGAATTATCCGCAGATTCTTGATTCAAGGATTCATTGCAGCTATGGTTATCTTCTGGTCAGTTCCAGCTGCTTTGGTTGGGATGATTTCCAGCATCAAGTTCTTGACAACCAAGCTTACTTTCCTATCATGGATCAACAAGCTACCAAATATTGTTCTTGGATTAATTTCTGGGCTGCTTCCTGCTGTAGCATTGGCAATGCTCATGGCAGCCGTCCCAATCATGTTGAGAGGTATGCTTTCTAATATTCTTCGTGAATGGTTCTGACTTTCATTCTAGCCTGCGCCCGTCAAGCCGGTGTTCCTACAGAGGCGAAAGTAGAGTTATTCGTTCAAAATGCATATTTCCTCTTCCAAATCGTTCAAGTATTTCTCATCACAACATTGACATCGGCCGCCTCCTCGGCAATCACGGATATTATTAAAGACCCAATGTCTGCCCGAAGCCTACTATCGCAAAATCTACCCAAGGCCTCAAACTTTTACATTTCTTACTTCATTTTACAGGGCTTAGCTATGAGTGCTTCGAGAATCGTCCATCTAGGGAGTGTTAATCGACACTATTTCATGGGTAATTCTGGATCGAATCCAAAGTTGATCTCTGCGCGTTACCATCGCCTCCGGAAGATTCATTGGGGTAGTGTCTACCCTGTTTTCACGAATATGGGTGTCATTGGTACGTCACGCCCCTAACACCGAGATTTTGGTATTGGAATTAATGTCTTCAGCAATATCCTACTCTCTTATTGCACCCATCATCCTCGGAGTAGCTACTATTGGCCTCTTCCTTGTTTACATCACCTACCGATGGAATCTGCTCTACGTTTACTCTTCAGAGCGTGACACCCGTGGCCTGCACTATCCCCGAGCTCTAAAGCAAACTCTCGCCGGAGTTTACCTGGCTGAAATCTGCATGATCGGCCTCTTTGGTGTCAAAGGTGCCTATGGTCCCCTAATAATGATGTTTGGCCTCATCATCTTCACCACTTTGATACATATCTCTCTCAATGACGCACTTGGTCCTCTACTTTATAACTTACCCCGTACCGTCGCCGCCGAAGAAGCCCTGCGAAAATTAGGCAATGATTTTTTCAACGCATCAAACCTTAACGACATGCACGATGCTATTGATGTCCAAGACTCAGAACTACAACATACTGGCTACGATTCCGATTTTGACCCCTCCAACCCCTCCGACACAGTTAACCACGGCGATCAGTCATCCCGAGGAGCGGGTGTAGAAGGCGTAGATGCAGCCATCAAACTTAGCACTACGACCGCTAAATCATTCGCGAGAAAGAAGTTCGAAAGCTCACCCATTCCAGCCCTGATCGCTAAATTCGACTTCTGGACCTTTTGGATCTCACCCGATCCAAACATAAAACCCAACTTTCTGCTCAAGTTTCTCCATCCGGAAATCTTCGCTGATTACCACATATTGCGACAGCAAATCCCAGACGACGCTGTCCCGGAGTACGCGTACGAGGATTCCGTGCTGAGAGATGCGTATAGTTCGCCTAGCATGAGGAAGCGGTCGCCGAGAATCTGGCTGCCCAGAGATGTGGCGGGGATCAGTCGACAAGAAGTTGCGCATAGCGCGAAGGTGATTGAGGTTACTGACGAGGGAGCGTGGCTGGGTGAAAAGGGCGGGGTGATTGTAGATCTTGAGGGCGAGACGAGTGGGTGGGTGTTGAGAGATTATGAGAGGGTCAAGTTTTGAGTTTGGATATTTGAGCGAGGCGTTCTGTAATGGTTGGAAACACTACCTGGGTACATTATACATGGGAGAGATTATGTGATATAATAACGAAGTAATGTCTTGTAGAATGCATTTGTTTATCCTTCAAAATTAGATTTTTGTTGGTATACAGATCGAGTCAGTAATGTGCACTCTCTGACCAGAAACTCCCGCTAAAGTACTGGATATAAACATCTAAACAAACAGCAACCCAACGATTCATCAACCGAGCATCACATCCAAAGCAGGTATCCCAGCCTTCCCCGCTCCTGAAACTCTCAAACAGACCATCTCAACCCTCAAGTAACAGAAATATTCTGAGTCTTCGCATCAAAAGTAGGCACCCTTTCCTTCCCCTTCCACCCCTCCTCGCGCCTGCCGCAGATAATCCCACGGCCCCACCAATATCACAAACCCCCTGCCCATCAACGCCCGCACCATATCCCTGGTACACTCCACCCCATTCCCCTATTCATCCCCCGCAACCCCTACCTCATCCCCTAAGAACCGCGTTACCTCATCCACAGACACCGTGATCTTGCCCACCGTGACCAGCACCAGGAGTCCCTGCTCCAGCTCTAGCGTTAGGTCTGGGATGGCGATGGCTTTGTGGCGCGAACATATGAATTGGCTTTGCATTTGCATTTGCCTGTCGTCATTTTGGTGAATGGATGGAAGGGTTTTGACTTTGGGTTGGAGGTTTTGGGCGAGATGAGGAGGTTGAAGCGGTAGGTTTCTCGGTAGGGGGGTGAGTGTAGAGTGATTTGGAGTCGTGGTTTATTGATTGATGCATGCATACTGCCAAGTTGCTGGAAATGCCCTCCATACCGGCGGCAGTCTGGTCGCCAATAGACCTAACAACTGCGTGGGATAAGGACGCGAAACTTGCGAAATTCGCGGAATTCATGATGGTCCAGTAAGAAAGGATAAGGATGCACGTGAAATATGCGTTTGTTTGAAGAATAGGGAAGCGTTTAAAATTCAAGTTATTTACGTCTATAAACAGAGAATTGCTTACTGTCACAAACTCCGTTGAAGGAGACATGATATCTTTTGAGCATTTTTGGCGTGCTCATCCTAGGTAGAACGTTCGGACTACAAGACTTATGGTTCTGTATATCCAATGGACACTTCCGAATAACATCAGTGGCTTACTGAAGTCATGTCTCAGCAAGTCCAATTCAGTCAAAGCCACGTATATGCTCAGACTACCTGCATGTGAAATTCTCTCTTACCACAAGGCAAGCATGAAAACAGCATCTGCTCTGCTCCACATTTGCCGAAGGACTACCTCAGCGAGCAGTAACACTCCAAAACCCCATACAAAGCTCAGCCATGTCCAAATCGAAGATCCTAGCAACCTTGTTTCCTGCCTCCAAAATATTTATGCTATTCGAATTTTCGTGAGCGACATGCAAGGGGATCTGTTCCCCTCGGGCAATCAGTCCGCGGACACAGGGACGCTCGCAGAGCTGCCCTGGTACTTTGGGTCCTCGGTCCTCAGGTACACGGAGTACCGTCTCATCCATGTGCATTCGATCGCGAGTAATTGGGAGGATTCGGGAATTGCCCTTCCGCTTGAACGAGCACCAGTATTTTAGAAATTGCGACGAGTGCAAGGTTAGCATCAGACAGGTCTCAAGGTATGGTTTTCATCGCATATCCACTCCGTCAGGAATGGGATCCAGGATGAAGGTATTGGAAAATGTTGGGAGGGTTGGTAATCGCGAGGGTGGAGTAGCGCTGGGTTCTCCCTGGGATACGAGTATCACGGCGGCGTACGACACGCCTCGAATTCGCCATCACGATGTGTGTATGGCATCATCAGAGGGATTTCTGTAGTCATAGGGGTGTCGTGGAGTTGTTTGCCCACAAAACGAGTAGTGGGATGGATGGATGGAGTTATGAGAAAGAAAGAGAAAGCAGAAGTGCAAACCAGCCAGGATCAACATGACTAAGCTGAGCCACTTAGACAAGAAATTCGATACCGCATTCGGGCAAAATATCCTCGAATTCTTATCGCAACACAAACAGAGGTCCATTCTTGAAAAGCACAACCAAGCAGATCCAATGATAAAACTTTGACTTTTGGAGCATGGCTCGGAATGGAAGACTTTTATATTCCCCACGTTCTTGCCAAGCGCCAGGCCATCTCCCAAAGCAGCAATACGGTCCCCTGATAGCGGTGCGGCTCCAATTGAGGGGTTATGTTGCTATAGAGGGGTAGACGATGTTACACGGTGACAAGATATAAGAGAGAAAGACTTCCAGATCTGCACATTTATCTCTCAGCCAGCACACCATCAGCATCTTCATCCTCACCGCAATTATATCCTCTTTTGATTCAAAAAGATAAGAACAGCATAAGTACGTATACATACCCTCTACCGTTCCACTCCCCATTCTCCGCCGTCCCATCCGTCTATCAATACCTTCATCATTCTAAATCAAACCTACCTTTTACTACCATCTCACTCAGAAGCCAAAAACTAACAATGGGTTCCTTCCTCAGCAAAACCAAATCTTCCCTCAAGTCACCAGCACCAGAAAAATCCACAATGGCTCCCCTCGCCTTCACCCAATTCGTTCAAGCCCAAACAGAGTTCAAGCCCCCACTCATCGCCAACGAGAATGCTTTCCTCGGCGACGTCGCAACCTCCACCGATGCCACAGCCCCTATATCGGCAGGCTTCTACAGACTAGAGAAGGGCACCCCGCTCGTCTACGAGTACACATACCACGAGATGAAGATCATTGTCGATGGAGAATTCGATATCAGTGATGAGACCGGACAAAAGGTGCACGCTGTAAAAGGAGATGTGTTCTACTGTAAGTACATGGCATGGCGGGTTAGCTAGGATAGGTGCTAATTTGAATGCAGTCCCCAAGGGAAGCAAGATTACTTTCACCACAGAGACGTTTGGCTTGGGGTTCTTTGTTGGTCAACGAAAGGTATGTTGATGATATTCTTGCATTCGAGATCCAAAGTGCTAATAAAGGAATAGGAGGGAGCGGCCTAAATGTTTCGGGTCATCGTTCCGGATAGATGTTAACGTTGGGTGTATAGTAGTTAGCTCCCACAATAACAATCTTCATCAAGTACTATTCTGAATTCGATGTGTTATTTTCTCAAGATTAGTTCCTTGTTTGCTTGTTTTTTTTCGGCGCCGGTTTGCCCGCAATTCATTTATCCGCTACCCCCCGTTTCAACAGATGTCATCAGCCTAGCTACATCTGTGGCCTCAATTTGTTACTATGGAAAACGATCCCTGTCAAGTGACCCTTATAATAATATGGAAGGTATAGTTGCTTCTGCATAAGTACATACGAAACAGCCGAATGTGACTTGTCGCCAAGCCTGATTAAAGGCTGACCTAAGAGCTAAGGTAACTCTACATCAGACCGTGTTCCGTACCGTAAGTAAGGCCCGTGGGACCGCCACTTCCGAGATTGCGGGGTACTTGTAAGGTAAAGTGGAAAGATGGCATGGCTGTACAGTACAGTTCTCCCTGCAAGGGGTTACCATACTTTCTTTGTGTTTCATCCGCCCCACTGCTTGAAATTGATCCAAGGGAGTGGTCAACGACATCCGGTTTGGCCTGGGGGGGAATGATGAGCAATTAAGTACGGTATTTAAAAAGACAGAAATGCCCTTGGAATGATGCCATCTGCATCGGTCCAGAAGAATCCCAAGCTCTCTTAAACACCTCACATCGACTTCAGACGCCATGAAAAGCTCTACTCTCCTCTTCACTCTCACCACCTGCATCTCATCCACTCTCGCACAAAGTGGCCAAGCTACCACAACAGTAACGTCCTACCAACATCCGAACTTGGACAAGGCACCGACATAACTAACGATGGCAAATTAGCGCTATTATGACGGTCTGAAAGGAGCATGTGGCTGTGGTCCTGCAACAGGAAACTCCATGTTCTCCTGGCAAGTAAGCACTCCTCCTCATCACCCCCTCCCCTCCAACCTCACAATCCATCAATCTCTAACACCTCTCCCTCTCTCCAGAGCAGTATCGGCACCGGCATCTACACAGCTGCTGTCTCCCAAGCCCTGTACGACACTGGCGGGCTATCCTGGTGCGGGGCTGGCTGCGGCAAATGCTACCAACTGACATCCACCGGGTCGGCGCCCTGCTCGAGCTGCGGCACGGGCGGTGCCAGCGGACAGAGCATCATTGTGATGGCGACGAATCTCTGTCCGAACAGTGGGAACGCTCAGTGGTGCGCTAGCGTGGGTGGCACGAACGATTATGGGTTCGAATACCATTTTGATATTATGGCGCAGAGTGAGGTGCTGGGGGATAACCCGGTGGTGGATTTCGAGGAGGTGACTTGTCCGAGTGCCGCGTTGACGGATTATGCGCAGTGTCAGTGTGCTTGAATTCAATTTCCCCCGGCTGACCTTGTGGATCATCAAGGGGGTGGGTGCAGTTCCGGGGAGAGGTGAAATTAGTTCGGTCGGTCGGTTTGGAGGAACTTGGGACAGTATATCTTCCTCCGGGATAGTATGTCTTTTATAGCTTTCAAGAATTAAGATTCAGATTAGCTTCTAGCTTGACCTTTGAGTTGATTTTGGCAGTTAGATTGTTCTCCCTTGAAATCGGAGGAGGGTTTAGGTTAATTCACAAATGATCTTTGTTGAACCTGCCCCAAGATCACCGAGCGTCCAACAGACGTCTCAACAGAAATTTCCTACTTGAAAACAAATACCTTTGCCATCATAGAATCTGACCACATTACGCACGAGGGGCTTCTGCGCCAATCGAGTGTTAAGGACATGGATTCCACGAACAAGTGAAAATGAATGAACCATCTCAAAACATGCTGGACTGATCTAGCATTGTAATAGATAAAACGACGAACCACACCATCCATTGAGAAGTCTGACACTGTAATGATAAATTCACCAAGGTTGAGGGTCAAATCAAATGATCCTCGCAGCAACCTCGAACAGCAAACGGCGTTCGTTACTGCTAGGCTATACTAGGCTCCGCAGCTTCACTTGGATTATTGATCTTCCAAGATGCCAACTTTAACAATTCATAGACAGTTGTCATAACCGGCACCTGGACACCCAGCTCAGCAGCCCTCCGGATCGGGTCGCCAAGGATAGCCTCGTACTCCATGGGCCGCCCATACTCTCTATCGAGCAACATGCTCGGCCGCCACCGTGAGGATTCAGGACTTCTGAAGGCCATTTCCCGAACAAGTTCATCCTCTAACTCATGCCCGTCTGCTTTTGCTACGGTTTGGAGCTCATGCATGATTGGAATGACTAGCTTCTCGCGCGCGCCAGATCGCTGTACCTCGCCCACATTCATCAACATCAGCGCACAGATGGTGTTGAACGTGCCATTCCACAAGATCTTTGCATACCGCGCTTTCGGCATGTCTCGTGCGAGAATGCAAGATGCCGCTCCTCCAGCGCTATACATCTCGATGAATGTCTGTGTCCGTTCCAAGGAGATGGAGTCAGGCACTCCGGGATGGTAGTGAGCTCCGATTTGGAGGATATCGGGTCCGATGTGTTTTATTTTGTTTGGGGGCGCTGTGAAGGAGCCTATCATGGAGACTGCTGACATGGTCACGTTGGTTGGGAACGCTGATATGAAGGGGATGTGGATATTAAGTCCATTTTGGATGAGGACGATCGAGGTTAGCGAGGGCGTGACGAGTGGTGCTATCATCTTCGCGATGGATTGTTGCTCGGGAATCTGCTTAGTACATATAACGATGAAGTCGTAGCGTTCTTTTGCAGGCTCCATGGGCGTTGAAGCTCCTGTAGGAAGAGGACCCCCGAAAGTCGTCGATTGCGAGGGCCCAAAGGTCGCATCATTGATGTTGGTACGACTACAGAACGTCAGTTCTTAAGCTCTTACATGTAAATACTTGCATTGGTATGCGATGATATACAATTCGAGAGTGAAAAAACGGAAAGACGTGAAACTCACTCACCCCGACTCGGCCTCCAACCTTCTCTCGGTCCATGATCCACACTCTCAATATCCCAACCTTTCTCGTTCACAATGTCATAGCTAGATCTTAGCACAGCGGTTACATTTGCTCTACCAGAGTTCTCAAGCACCAATGCCGCAATAGTCCCTACGCCCCCACTTCCAATAAGACAGATATTGAATTCCTTGTTGGAACCCTCACGGGATAGTTTTGCCATCAGATTCTTTCTAGATAGAACTCAAACCTGGATCACGATGAATTCTTCTTTCGTCTGAGCACTGGTGAAGGGTACCGCGCGAAGCAGTGTCAGTGTCAGATTAGAGTGGGGGTTTCAAATCGGAAAAGTGGGTTTTGGTAAACAAAGATGTGATGTGGCCTCAGTAATAATGGTATTATTTCGAAATACCTACTGTAGATATGTTGAACTAAATACCGGTACTGTACCATACTTTTCAAAGGAGAAATTCTAAATCTGGGGCGAAAGCTGGAGACACAGCAGAGAGAGAGAGCTAGGCTATACCTAAGTAGGCTAGCTTATACTATCTTAGCGGGTACGGCACGGCACGCACGGTCTCTATTGAACGAACGATATTTATATCTCCAACCTAAACTCATTCTTACTTGCCGGGCATCAAGTTGACTCCTATCGTGTCAATGTGCGATAGGGCCCCTCTCCAGACTTGCCTTATCTGATCCGAAAAGAAAATGCGGACTGTTAACGAGAGCCTTGGACGAAAGCCACCCTCTTCCCGCTTCACCCCCACGCGTCAATAGTTCACGTAGACCCCATGGTTTAATTCTGCTCAAGCAACGCAACCATATTAGCTGACCGAGGCTCGACGCTACACGCAAAAGGCTCCGGGTGACTTCCATGCAGTCTGTCAGCGTGTTCAAATAATATCGTCGAGTCTTGAATCACCTCGTAAGACCAGTACTCCATTTCGGATCTGGCGTTATCTCGTTCCCTTCAGGATCTTTCGCTTTGGAGAACTTAAGGGTAGCAAGCATAGTTGCAATGCCTATCCAAACACTTGCCAAGCCTAGGTGTATTCCAGGGCAAACTCTAGGCATGTATCAATTGAGGATTCTTTTTCTTTTTCTTTTCTGTCAAGTTTATATAATAGTACACTTACCTGCGCCCAAATCCGAAGTGGCCAATGGGATACGGCTCGCCGAGTCCTCCTTTCTCTTTAGCGATATAGCGGTCCGGTTTGAAGGCCGTTGGGTCACTGTAGAATCTCTCGTCCCGGTTCATAGCGTAAGCGTTAGCGATGACTAAGGAGCTATTTGTTGTTAGGCAATATTGGGCAATGAGTCTCTTTTCTTACCCAGCTGGTATGGAGTATCCCTTATATGTATCATCGACCGCCAACTTGTGCGGGATCCCTGCGATATATGTCAGACGAGAGCAAAGGATACAAGCGTGAATGCCCCTCACCAAGTGGCACAACTGGCCCCCATCTACTCCATTATTAGAATCTTAGCCAAGTGGCAGAGATGAAAAATTACCTGAAAGTCTCTTGGACAATATAATCTACAAAAGGAAGTTTGTCCCTATCAGCAAAAGTGGGTAAAGAGTCGTGCCCAAGTACTGATAATAGTTCTTCTTGGCCCTTTTCCTGTATCTGTGGATTGAGAATCATGTTCAATACAAACACTGTGAGAGTTGACCAGGTCTGTAGGCTATCAGTGATACCGAAAGCTTAGAATCTTAGATCATCTGCTAACAGTGTCTTGCCCCGCCACATATATTGATCCTGCTGCTCCTTTTATATCGGCATCTATAATCAGTTCCGAGTCCGTAATCAGTTCCGATCTTGGCTCGATTTCGCGTCGTTCTTCAAGCAGCTTCTTAGTGAACGACGGTTTCGCCGTTCCAGCTTCCTGTATAGTGTCTTCGTCAGGATGTATCAAAAGCTAGCAAGAGAGCCATACCATTTCCTGTTGAACAAACTGAAACGGCACTTCATGCAATTTAGTCACCCAGGAATTGCATTCTCGTGCGAATTTCAATGACGGTATAAGTTTAAACCAGGAAGGCAAGTGCCTAACTAGGACTTGGGTTAGAACTACTCCATGGTCATGTCATAGTTGATCATACTGAATGGGAAAACATCTAATGCCGTCGACCCTGGAGCTCCTCCTTTGCTAAGCGCGTCGGATGTTTTGTCCGCTATCTCGACGTAAGGGTCATCTTTATCTTGAACATCGATTCCGTAACCAATTCGCAGGACGAGTGTCGTCGCAAGTCTTGATTCGATAAGTCAGCAGACCAACGACAACCTGCTATAAATGTGGAGACTGGATAGAAACTTACGTCTGCATATGCTCTCTCCAGTTCTCTGGTGTGCTGATGATTCTTTTTATAAGCTTACGTACTTCCTCTTGCTGTATTTCTCGATAAGGGATGCAGTTGTTAGGAGTGAGAGCTTTTTGAAGCATCTTTCGATGCTTTTTCAGCTGGACGCCGCCCTGGATGACCCCCATCGAATATCTCGGATCCCACCCCTGTCTAAAACACATCAGTATTGCACTACGCTATATTGCACCAGAGTATTCATATACTCCGCAAGGCTGTAGAGCATTGGCCGGCCACTGTAATTGGCAGATCTTCTTTCCATTATCGCAACCGCGGCCTCAGAGCTGTTGAGAATGATGACCGACTGTCCCAAGAAATTGAGATGCAGGATGTCCGTGTCTATGAAGCAACGCAGGTAATTAGTGCGTCTTCCGTAGTCTTTATTATGCGTGACAGCAAACTGTATTGTTTTCCCCATTTCATGTACGTGAGTTCCGGCCTGCTCGTGGGCACAAAGCGGACATGACCAATAATGGGATCGGCCCTGGGTCCTGGTGGTGTCAAAGCCTTCTTGTGCAGTCGAGACCGTAATTTCAACCAAACGAGAGTCACAGCAACCAATGGAAGGATGATAGGGAGCAACGACAGCATTTTGTTAAGAAAGTTTGCAGGTTCAACAGCCTCAAATTTCGATTTTTAGAAGGTAGAGCTCTTATAATCTGGGCGACTGATGATCTTGGCTCATCCTGGCTATAGCACTATAATGTTTTCGTTTTCTCGTTTGGCCTTTGGGAGCTGTCGGAGCGACGTTATTTACCCAGTGTGACTCCATATGTGTCAGACGAGTGCGTGTCGTCTCACTTGCATAGCATTGGATTGGTTAGCTCAGGTGTCACAAGTTGAGTGACGACGTCATAATTCTGGTGATACTATAGAACTCGTAAATTGCATTCTGTAATGAGTTGGCTGTGCTATTTTGATGGCAGGTGCTTTGCTTCTTGCAGGAATGCATTGAATAGATACCGCCTCTAGCCGTCGCAGCTAGGATTTTGGCAACGGATGTTATGGCGGATTAACAAAGTTGTTTGATTTGATAAATGAATACTTTACTTGGGCACACAAGAATAGAAAATTTGCAATTAAAATGAAGTCTAGCATGCATATCGTGTGGGGACGACATAACATTTCAGCCAACGACGAGAATTGTGAAAGAGCAGGAGAACATGATAACCAGTACCATTATTTATCTTAGCTATACCCTAGTTCAGATATCTCACGCTTACTGCTCTGAACTCTAGGGAGCTTAGAAGCGTCGGCAGAATAAGATAGAACTGGATGTCACGCGGAAGAAGTGATCCGGGTTGGCAAGTTCAAATACATCTCGCTCACAATCAACGAATTCGGGTAGATTATTTCAAGGTATAACTTAGCAAACTAACTTATTACTAGAGCACTGATGCATTCAAAACCATATCAATAGTTTCTACATCTTTCAGCAATTGCTCGTCTCCATACTTACATCCTACAATCTGTAGTGCAACTGGTGCACCGGCCATGAGTTGCGGATCATCTAGTTAAGGTAAGCACAACCTAATCAAGACTTAGGGTAATAGCATACAGGTTGCTTCATTTTTCGCATCTGCTGAACTCAGTGGGGCAAAAGATGAGTCTCTGGGATCAAGTTTCGGGTCTGCTTTTGTGAATGGAATGATGGCTGCGGGGTACTAGAATGCTGTCAGCTGCCGAGGGAGAGGCAAAACAGCATAAGCACATACATCCATAGCATTCCATGTGACTGTATATAAGTCATGATTCCATCCTCCAGGAAGAACGGCGGTGTAGGGCCCAGCCGGGCATATAACAACATCCACTTTTGCCTCCTGCCACCGATCCAACATGGCCTTACAAAACGCAAGTCTTTTTGTATTCCAAGCCCAAGTCTCTTCTTGCGTCTTCCCTGGAATGTCCCAAAAACCAAAGTTATGCACCGATGGAACTACAGGTTCTCCACCCTTGCTAAGCTCACCTTTTTGGTAAGATAATGAATCCAGAGTCAAGAGTTGTTGGGTTACAATTCGGATTTCCGCGAAATTAGGCGGAGTGAAATCCTTAACTTCGAAGCCGGCACCTTGAAGTTTTGCAGCAGCTTCTTTTATCGCTCTCTGCACAGGTGGATGGGGCGTGAGGCCGCTTCGAGAAACTACTCCGATAATCGGTTTCCTGGTAGAAGTTCCCTGCTCGCATATATTTGGGATCACAGCTGGATCTACTAGCCACGGTTTAGCATCTCGAACAACTCGAACCAAGAGAGCGAGATCACGAGCTGAATTCGCTATAGGACCTAGAGTTGCTGGTATTCCAGAATTGACCCCGGTGTAGCCTGACGCCGCATAACCGATGAATGGCAAGACACCGGATGTCGGCTTGAAACCATATACTCCATTTGCTGCTGCTGGTATTCTGGCACCAGGAATTTTAGCCATTTCATGGGATCCGTAAACTAAGGTCTTCTATACTTTTACTTACCGAATAGATCCGGCAACATCTGTTCCGATACCGATGGCAGAGCCTCTGAAGGCCATATTCGACCCCTCGCCACCACTGCTTCCACCAGAAGTTAAATGGCTCACCACCGAATTTTTTGTTCGGCCAAAGACATTGTTATCAGTTTCACAAACCAACATTGTCTGTGGGACATTGGTTTTTGAAATCACAACTGCACCAGCTGCTTTGACCAGTTCAATGATATACGTAGTTGTAGTAGAAGGGTTGAAAGCACGCGAGATATAACCATTACAGGCATCATAACCAGATACATGAAAGCATTCCTTTAATCATTAATTTCCAAGATACAATAGTGATAATGCCAGCGGACGTTGCCGGTCGCTCACCTTGAATGTCATTGGCAAGCCGTGAAGAGGGCCAACGGTCTTTCCAGTCTCCCTGAAATAAGTGTCCAGTCTTTTGGCATCTTCAATAGCATCCTGAAACATTATCTCAGTGAGTGTATTGCATAGCTGATGGCCAATCGCAGCGCGCTTGCAAAATGCCGTCGCAACTTCCTCTGCACTGTACATCCCTTCGGCGATGGCTCCTGCCAAGGATGTGGCATCATACTCCTCTCCGGTAATCTTTAGCTCACGTGTCGACAATATCCCAGAGCTGGCTGCCACTGGTCGAAGATCAACTGTTCCATCCGGAGGGAAATCTTCCGAGCGAATCTTCCATGCTGCGGGAATTCGGGAGGCTTGTTCTGCTTTCTTCGCATCCCTGATTTCTTGCCACGGTTTGACTGGCATATTTTTTATTTTTTGATCTCGATCTGATAACCAAGAATTGGACAGGCCAGAAGAGGTAAAGGAGTTGTCCTGAAACTCGCTAGACAGGTTTTGCTTTCATAAAAGTAGCGATTCACACTTTAATGGTCTGGTTGTCACGTGGCTGACTACAGAACAGAACGATGACATTCTATTGAGTTCAGTCCATGAAAGTGACTGCATCTAAAGCGGGGTTGAATGTATCTCGACTGGGATGTCATTGGGGAAAAGGTTGGAAACTGTGGATGTTTTTCGGAAAGCTGAGCGTATAGATAAGAAGGAAATATCCCACTTTTGACAATAGCAAACCGTCTAAAGTAGATTTAGGAGCAAGAAGACGATGATGGGTCTAACGTGCTCAAGCCAACAATCAAAATATTGCGGAGACGTGTATCAGGGAGGGACTATGATATTTTTCAGAGCAGGCAAAATCAATACTCCACATGACCTGCTACGTAACAGAGTAAAACGGTTTAATACACAAGCAGCAATATCTCGATTTGGTTATATGACAACCGGATTAAAATAACAAATGTCAACTTTAAGGATTACTTTTAACACCTACATAACCGATGCCCAAACTTACATTTCTCACCAAAGAGCTAAGTGTACATTCCCTCGTCCTTTTTAACTAATCCATGACCTAGACTCGTTCTCTAGAAACAGTAAAGGCCGGTGCTGTGAGTTTTGGTAACGACGAAGACGCCTGCATTCGTCCATCATCTCAACCCACTCTCTAAACTCGCGCAACCCTTTATTTGGATTCAGATAAACATTGTCATAACCAGGATAGAACTTGCTATTCCTCTGGCAATGCTTCTTTAACGTCTCTTGATCTGAACATTCCGCATAGCAAGATCGTCTATTCCGCACCCCAGACGAGAGTTGAGAGAGCGCAATAGGGTCTATGGGCTTCCATCCTTGCGAAAGTGAATTTGAGGGCACTGAATCGAGCACTGGGTAGTCGTAGAGTGTAGTGGCCGAGGGTGTAGAGCTCTTAGGTTCGTAGATGCAGTGGCTAGCAAGTTCCTCTACTATTCGATATCTTCTGTCAAGCATCTTATCCTGATGTCCGGAAGCGAAAGTTCTTCGTTGACTATTTAGACCATAGCCATAGGCAAGGTAAAGGGCGTGTGTCATTGCGTATACCCCACAGTCAGCACTGCCTCTTGTTTGTCTCTCACCTGTATCTGTTCTCGTTCGCCATTCACTTGGAATAAATGTCTGGTGTGGACTTTGGTAAAAGTCATCGCTTAAACTTGTGAGCTCTTGGATGATTTGTCCAATGGTGACTTGAATTCTCCGCCCGTATGTATCACCACTATCCTAAGTGAACGTGAGTGAGATGTTTTCTCGGGGTGAGTTTAGAGGAGATTACTCACTATATCGGAGCTAATATAATCGATGGTTTTTGCTTCTATAAAATACGTTCAGATGTCAGTTTATTTATATACAGAAGCAGCAGTCCTGTTCAAGTGAAAAATGAACATTTTCCATGAACTTACTAGGCGATACTACGCATAGATCCATATGAAACTCCCGATCCGAACCGGTGGTACCGGAATGATATATTATAGGTATAAACAAGTATCGCAACTTCCAGAATTGTCTTCTTGTAAGGATAACGTCCCTCCTTGACTTCTTTATTGGGGATCCATCTCTGCCCGGGTTTCCAATATTCCCACAGGGTATTGAATAAAGCAATGGATCGGTTCCCGGAGAGTGACAATCAATTCCAGTAATTCTGCTAAGTCCCTGATTTGCATGAGTGCAAAGCCCTTCCAAATAGACATCGATGAGTTTCGTCGGAGTACCTTTGTCTAGATCTAGGAACCGTAAGCATTGCCGTATATCCAAGCTTGTTTTTGTTCCGATATTAGCTTTGTCTGGGCCGAATGTTGTAACGCAAGTCGAATGGTTATTAGATCTGCGGTGGGCAGTTGCGAACGCCTCTGCATATCGATATTTCATAGCTTTCACGACATCTGCACTCGGTCTCGAGAATATCTTTTTAGTTGCCGTTGCGATTGTGACTTGTGACCTCGTGCTACGCCGCTGGACTACAGCGTCGTCCATTACATAATACGTACTTTGTTTAGTGTTATAGATACAGCTACAGATGCATCTTGACTAAGAATGAAGGAAAAGACAAATGGGAAACATTTATATATAATAGTGGATTGAAACTAAAATTGTGTTGATTGATAAACAGATAAAGACCTGGTTGGTTTAGGCAATAGTCTAGAAGCACGAAAAGACGTACAAAGACATGTTTATATCGATCTATCCACAAGCTACATCCTACATAAAATTACTGAACAAGAACAAAGAATAGAAACTCCGGCAACGCCATACCAGACAGTAGCTCAAAGCAGTTTGCCTTGCAATATCAGTAGTGTTCACTCTATGAGGAAAATAGTCCTTGAGAAGGACTGCTGCATGAACTTTTAAAATTTGGGTGCAGAAAAGGTGCGTATATGTGAGAATATAAGTCTACCGAGATTTAAACTCGTGAGGATACAGATGATCTCAAATTATAAGAACAAATAGGTGGTCTATACTATTCTATGTTTAAAGCCGTGCATAGGTTTAAACTTTATTCAAAGCTCACATCTATCGATAGTAAGTTGTAATATCTAAGCAAAAGAACAATACAGATGGTGCAAAATGCCACCAACAAATGCAGCACAACTCCGGTCCCAATGATTTATTTCCAAAATATGCAGGTTGACAAACAAACTCCCAGTACTTCTAATACATTTACATCTCTTCTACAATGCAACGAAAGCAATAAAAGTAAGCACTCCCATAGCGAACGCCGAGGCCTGAAATCGAACCGCACCACTCTTTGACGTCGGCGAAGAAGCAGCCGGAAGAGTAGGAGCAGTTACTGGCGGGGCCACAGTCGTGGTATTTGCTGAAGAGCCCGGTGCAGAAGAAGTACCATTCGAAGCGGATCCCGGGGTAGCAGTGACGGTGCTCGGAGAAGCAGTCGAGGAAGACGGTGCCAGTTCCCTGTTTCCAGGAACACTCCAAGCCGTAGAAGGATGGCCGGCTACCTTGGCCGTGATGTGGAAAACACCCGAGCAGGCTTGACCGGCAGAGCCAGCACACACGCGACAGAATTGCTTATCGTCGTAGCTGGAGTCGTATTTGACATCGTAGGTTAGGGAGGTTGAGACATTGGCCCATGTTTTGATACCGGTGTCTTGTTCATTGTAAGTGCTTGTACATAGTGGGAAGAATTATGGGATTCTTACGAATCGAATCTCCGGTGAAGTCTGTGGTCTTTGCGCAGTTGAGTGCCATGTCAGACGTGTCTCCAGAAAAGTTGACATCCCATGAGACGATCAATGAGTCGCCATCTTCAACAGTTAAGTTGGTGGTGCCAGGCACGGGATAGAGAAAGCTGAAGCAACTGGCGGTGGAAGCTAACAGTGCAATGGGAATGATGGTCTTGAGTGAGGGAGACATTGTTGAAGTTTGAAGAATGGATTCCAATTTTGAGCAAGAGACTAAATTTATTGAAAGTGCCGAAATATGTGATGGAGATCAGTTGAGATGAGATGAGATGATATATAGAACGAAGAGGAACAAAACCAAACGCAGATACCGCAGACTATATATGAAGGCCAACAAGAGGCCTTTACGAACCTAAACACATTTACGCACAATAATCACGAGCGAACCATAGAACAACCATCCATAGATTTCGTAAGTTGAGGCTCATCATGAAAGGGAGCCTAGCTCAAATTCGGGGCTTTGCAATAGTTTAGAGGCGCAAGCGCGTTGGACAGCTCTGATTGGCGAGAAAGAACGAAGGGGCGCAAGGCAAGACCACCAGGATTGAACGACGGAAATTTCTATTTTAGACCTACCTACCTCCTACTCGAGTATAGAGAATACGTTAATTTGTTTCAGCCTTAGCCTATTCAAGCCAGCTACTTGAATGATGGATGGAGCGACGTGAATCGCGAAATGTTTGCCTGGTTTGGAGATTGAACTGGCTGCTGGCTACTGTAGACTCAAGAGGCTAAATACGGCTCGGAAATTTTGACTACGGAGTTTTGAAAGTCTAGTACCTACTACAATTCGTATGATTATCTCTAAACCCGGAATTTCTGGCTCTAGTGCGGGCTCCCAAGGAATCAGAGAACCATCTAGCAAAGAAATAGCCCCTGGAATCAGTCTTCGGGTTCGCAATGACCCCTCTGAGAAAAGAACATAGCCATCTTAGAGCCCTAGATTCAATTCGAATAGAGGGAAGTATTCGAGAAGAGAATCATAGTTACAATTGAAACCCCGAGATTTCATGTTGGCCAATTCTTAGCAAAATAAGAGTCGCCAAATGCGCAATGTGATCGGATATAGAATGTGCACTTGGATCTCCCAACTTCTCCCGCTTTGCACGAGTTGCACCACTCCACTCCATTGACAGAACAGAAAAGAAGAGAGAAAGACAAACATAGGAAAATGACGACTCCAAATTGAAATCCGCATCATTATGGCAATAGCATATTATTTCATGCACTTTCATTTCATCCCACAAAAAAAAAAAAGGTATATTCCAACACCCATTCTGGCCCTTCCCTCCTACGCCTATCCCGATAATCAAAACCAGAAAAGTCCCACCCCAATAATACCAACCAGGAGCAAACAACCCACCACAAGCAAACTTCCCAAGAAGCTCATCAATACACCATTCTCTCTTTCCTTCTCCGTCAAATTCTCAACGGTCATACAGTCGCATTGAAAGGTGCCGTAAGATTCAGAATTAGAATCAGAACCAGATGTAGAATCAGAAACAGATTTAGAACCGGACCCCTTCTCAATCTCTGACGGCGTGACGACTTTCTTGTCGATATCCACTAGGTGGATTTCTGGGAGGTAGGTGCTGAGTTTCTTGAGTAGTGATATCGATTTGTCTCCGACAATGTTGATGGGTTGAGTTTTAGTATCGAGACTGAGACTGATGTAATCCAGCTCGAGAGATTTCTCGGGCTTGAAATGCGTAAGTGGGAGTAAGCTCTTGAAATCAGGAGCAGAGACTTACATTATCAGTGGGAGACATTTTAGATATATGCTTGGGCTGTTTTGAAAGTGAAGTGGAAGTGAAAGTTCCGTACTCAGGAATGTTGAAAGGAAAGTTTGGTGTTGAATCATGATAATGAAATAAAACTGGATAGCTAAATACTAATATATCTCACGATTTCTGTGTTGTTCAGATGTCTCTGATAAGAGCTGCAGGTGCCCACGTCGTGAGGCACACCTCAGAATCTCAGATCTCAGATAAGGAAGGGTAGGTGGTGGAGTGTGTTGGCATGTGATGGACGGGCCGCATATACGCATCCATAATACTCGCGTAGCTTTTGAATCCAGCGAAAGAAAAGCACCAGATAGGAGTAGGGTAGAAGAAGCATGACATATACACCGACTTCCCTAAGACGAGGTGTTATCCGCTTGTCTCATGAAGCTGAACGCCCTTCTGGCCTAACGTGTAAGGCTTGACTTACTTGAGCGCCCCTAGTCAAAACACTTGACACCTACATTCCAGGAAAGAATATATTAAAATTCGTAATTTTATTCGCCTCCTTTTTAGATATCCATAGATATGAAGACTATATACAAACAAGCAAGCCAATGTCTTAGCTATGTGGCTAGACCTTAAAAGACAAATGAAAAATAAAAGGGGGTATTCGCAATTTTGCTTTCCATCTGGCCATCATATATGCGCGTATGTTTCCTTCTCTCCAAGGGGTATCAATCTAATTACTTCTCTCGCCTCAATACCAACAAATGAAATCGGCCCCTTAATTATGTTTTCTCCCAGGTACAGATGGGGCTCGGTAATGTCACCGACCTAGCGGTAGCGGTCCCCCACTACTTCCATACCCATCATCAACTGTACTCTCATCATCATCATAAAAGCCCGCATCACTGAAGTCCTGCGCATCCGCGGCGTCTGGGTCGTAACTGCTCTTGCTCATCATAGGCGGTGTTCTCGGCTCTGGCGCCTTGCCTTGCTTTCTTGGCGTCATGTTGCGTGGCCGATTTGCTAACTGAGCGGATGTGAAGCGCTGGCCTGTGCTGCCGAAGGCGGTTGGCTGTGGTGATACTCTGGGTGCAGTGCTACTTTCTTATCAGTATTCAGAAATGGTATGTTTAGGAGAAAGGGTAACTACCTGGCTGGTGGAGTTAATAGACCGCCAAGGAAAGACTGTGCCGATGGACTAGGGTTATGGCGACTTGAAGTTTGTCTACTCGGAGTGCTCGACCTACTCCCATTACCCGCATCAGTATCCCTTGATTTTCTCCAATTCCCCCAAGCTGCTGCGAGTGGGCCAACTGCTTGCGCCATCCGTGGAGTCGCAGCATCGCGCAGTGAAGCAGCAATGTTGGGCAAACTTATTGCAGAACCACCATTCATGGCTCTTTCCCTCTCCTGCTCCTCCATCTGCAAGTTGGCGCTGAGGCGAATAGCAGCGTCCTTGAGCTGTTCAGGGTTGAAGTTCTCACTCGATATCGAGGTCACGATATCTTGAAGATCACCCTTGCGAACAGCAAGTAGCTCGCGCAACCACATAATTTCGTCGTCGCGCTTGGAGATCTTGATTGGAGCGTCTACATCAAGAGTTGCGAGAGTAGCTTCTAATTTCTCGATTGTTTGCTCGCGATCTTGCAGCTGTTCTTGCAGGACCATGATGGATTCGCGGAGAGCTTGAGGGGAGATCTTCTCCGGAAGTTCCGTGACACGGGATACAGCTTGTTGCTGTTGAGGCACAGAAACTGATGTTGTTGTTTGTGGCAGGGGTACGGGGACACTTCCACTAGCTGAACGTGCGGCCTTGGCTGCTGCATTCGCGGCTTGGTTGGCAATCTCGAGTCGTTCCTCCAGGTGTTGAACACGATCTTGTAGATGTTCGGTCTTGGACGAGGAAAGAGAAAGACGTTCCAGAAGATGTTGTTCCGAGCGTTGAGCATCTTCAATAGCATTGCCAAGTTGTCGCTCATGCTGAGTCTGGAGATCTTCGAGTTTGTCGGCGTGCTTGCGCTTCACATCGTAGACGGCATTTTGCTTCGAGTTATTCGCTTCCTCAAGCAACATCTCATGCTGTTCCTTTGCTGTATCAGCATCCAATTTCACCTGATCAACCTCTGCACGAAGTCTCAACACTTGGTTTTCGAGATCTTCCCTGACGACATTGACCTGGTTATTGGCGGCGTCGAGCTCTGCTTGCATGAAGCGCCTCGTCCGTTGCACTTCACTCAACCCCGACTCACGAGCCTCCTCAAACTCGCGCTGGAATCTCATCACTTCCTTCTGAGCATTATGACTTTCAAGCCTCAACTCAGCAATAATACCTTCCAACTTCTTACACTCACTGACCGCCCTCATGCCCTCTCTTTCACCACCCTCTAACCTCTCAATTTCCTGCTCTAGCCGTTCTCGGGTCCGGGCTTCCGCTTGCAACTTAGCATCGAGGACCTCCTGTCGGGCAACGAGTTCTTGTTCTCTTTTAGCGCGGCGGGCGTTCTCTTCGGAAATGTTGCGGGCAGCTTGCGCCATATCCTCCTGCAAATCTATTAATTTCCCTCTCATGCCTTCTCGGACTCGGATACTTTCCTCCATCTGAGTCCGTAGGCTGTCCACGTTCCGCCCGAGGGCCTTGTTTGTCTCATTGGCCATTTCGGCATCCTCGCTGTGCCTCTTGGCCGCCTCCAGAGCGCGCTCCGCTTCCATTTGCCAGTGCTGGGCTGCTTGTCGGGATTGTCGGAGATCAGCCTCAGCGACGTTGATCCTATTTTGAAGATCGGACTGGGTCTTTTGGGCATTGTTCTGGCTAGCTTCAAGGAGCGCAATCCGCATGGTGGTCTTGGCTCGTTGTTCCTCGACATTTCTTACCTTCTGATCGCTGGCATCGACAATCTCTCGAATCTTGACCTCTCTCTCTTCCATAGCTTCTCGGAGGCGATCCTCCTCCTCACTTGAGATTCGGAGTAGTCTTTGGACTTCAGCAAGACGATCCTCGGCAGCACGTCGGTTCTGGATTTCTTCTTCGGAGCGGGTATCTGCACGACCAAGCTTTTCTTCAAGCTCGGCGATTTTGATCTTGTGGTCTGCTTCTCGGGCAGCAGCTCCTTCATCAAAGAGAGGCTTAGCTTCAGCAGCTCGAAGTCGTTCCTCAAGGTCAGTGATTCGGGCTCTTTGATCAGCATCCCTTGCAACAGCAGCTTCGTCGATCATGGGGTTCGGTGAAGGCGGCATTCGTTTCTCTACAGCATCCTCAACAATGTTACGCAGATCATCAGCACGGAAATCTAGACGCATTGATTGACCAAAGTGCTCCTTCATTTCTTCCAGAACAAGAAGAATATTTTGAGAATCAGGAATAGCCTTTGGCTCTGTGGATGCTGTAGCTGGTCGTGATGATTGATGAGCATTAAGAGCCTCAAGAACAACACTTCGAATCTTGTCCAGCTTTTTGTCACGTCTCGGGCTGAGCGATCTACGAGGATTATCATCATCCTCGTCATCAGCGTCACTCAAAGCACCGGAGATACTTCGTCTCTCACGTCTGCTGGAGGGAGCGCGGCCGGACATCATATCTAAAGACATTTGAATCGACTCCAAAGTCCTTTCCACAGGATCAAGTCTGTCAGCCAACAAGCCACCAACGAGATCATTGACATGGCTATCGAAGAAGCGGGCGCGAGGCTGAAGCTTGTTTTCTTCTGTTTCACTAAGAACATCGTCCCAATCACTAGCAGGCACACTGCTGCCTCTATTCAGACGATGAATAGGTGAGGGTGATATGAATGGCAACGGCTGTGGTGATTCTTCAACGAAGGGATCATCGTGGGCACGGGAGAAGATTCTTTGGGACGCGACAGGCTCGCCGGGCAGTGCCATGAACCGTCCGGGACTTGGGCTCGGTGCATCGCTGCGCATAAGATTCTGAGGTTGCAGACGAATGGGCGAAGACTGCTCTAAGTTGGGCATTTGTATCTGTCTCATCGGACTTGGCTGAATATATCCCGGCGAGCTGTCGCGAGGAGCGGACTCGAACTCGGCTTGGTTAAGATGATTCATAATATCATCAATCTCCTCGTATGTAGGTTCGCGATCTGCGGTCTCGCCTACCGGTTCTTTGTATCCCGGCGGACTTTCTGGACCAGGCAATGCATTTTGGAAGTCGGCAACCTCATTAAACTCGAAGTCACTTTCAGGGTATGACAACTGAGGAGGTGGTGTTGGGCTTCCAGCAAACCTAGAACCTGACAAACCAGGAAGAGTAGGCGGCGGGGCCACAGCAGCCATTGCCTCAGAGGGCTGACCAAAAGTGAAGTTGAAGGGTCCTGGCTTGAACTCAAAGGGTTTTGCAGTTGCAGACAGCGAGGAAGTATTCTTCTTGTGAGACTTTGAAGCAGGTTTGACGGATCCTTCCACAGAGACTTCGTCGTCCGATGGAGCGTGGAAGCCATATGCAGGGAGGCCAGATCCATATCTGCTTGATGTGAATGGCCGTGCAGAATTAAAGTCTTCGACTTGTTTTTGTTGCTGGAACTCGAAGGGAGCAAAGTCTTTGGCGGGCTGATCTGGTGAGATTGGTGACACCTCAGATACATTCGATATATTCGATACAGCCCGTGCATGAGACTTTGGAGGAACAGTTGGTGCTCGATCAACATCTTCACTGGGTGGTGCCGAATTCTCTTTGTCTGCCGGTTTGGCGATCGCTGGAGCTGTTTCCTTTGGTGGTGACTGTTCCCGTGAAGTCTCCGAGAGCGGCATGCTGGGTTCAGCAAATAGCGGCACTGAATTTCCATCATCCTTTCCACCGCGGGCTCTTTTAATACGTCCCTCACCCTGGGTAATGCGACCATCCTTGCCTTCCATTACCTCATCCTCCAAATTTCTGGGAAGTGAAGCTCGGGAATGGCTGCTGTCTGGACGAACAATTGGGATGGCCTTCGACTTTTTGGGTGGTTTGAAAACACCAATTGCGCTCAAGTCGATACCGCCGAAAATTGAAGCGCGGGCAGGGTCATCACTCCCAGAAGCAAGGCTCCCAACTGAGGCGGAGAAAGCACCATTTGAAGGTGTAAAAGGTTTGCTATCTGGCCTGAAGCTTGGCCCTCCGGCTGAGAAACTGAATTCACTCTGGCCAGGAGTGAAAGCAGCCGCAGCAACATTAAATTTGCCCTTCGAGCTACCCAGCGATTGGTTACTGAAATGGCTCGACGTGGCGGAGTGGGGCGCAGCAAGGGACGGGAATGAGGCAACTGGCGGTGGTTGGAAGTTGTTCGCGGCCCCACCAAAGGCAAATTGGCCTGGCTTGAAAGAGCTGGCAGGGTCAAACTTAAATTCCTTCGCAGCCACGTTGAGTTTGGACGTTGATGGCTTGGTGCTATGACTGGGACGACTTGGCGGATTGCTGTCGCCGGTTTGACTTGGTTCCGACGCCCAAGGATTGCTCGATGTGGACAGAGACCTGTCGTGTCCGTTCAGGCCGTTGTCTTGAACAGGAGTGCCCATGTCGCTCGGATTTGTCTCGATATCCGAAACCTCAGCCTTGAGACTCTTTTTATTTCGAAATCCAGTTTTAGACTCGGCTGCACTTGACGTATCCTCGTGGTCCTGAAATGGATGTTGAGAAAGTGAATGTCCTCTGCTATGTGGCTGTGGATGATATAACACGGGTTCCGCTTCACCGTCGTCCGCATACATCGATGCAGAGAGTCCGTTATGGCCAGTAGAGACATTTGAAGTGTGATTTGGCTGTTGTTTAGAGTCGACATGAACTGCTTTGTCACCCATCTCAGAGTGAGGGCTGTAATCCTCGTGTTCAAGTTGACGTTGGAATTGTTCTTCAAGATGATACTCAGCATCGTCAATTTCCTTCTGAAGACTAGCACTTGGGTTGTGCTTGATCTGTCGCGCCTCTGGTGTCTTGGAGGGACTTTTGGAGGGAGCCGGGGTTTCTTCATCTTCAGCAACACGCACTTCCTGGAGGTGAGGAGAAGCTTTAGCAGAAGCTTGAAGCTGTAATTGCTGCTGTTGTTGCTGTTGCAATTGGTTCTGCAAGAGCTGTTGACGCTGCTGCAGTTGAGACATAACGTCACCCTGAAAGTAGCCGTCTTGAGGGAAAGGTGAGCTAGGTGATACAACTGCGCTAAGGTTTTTCAAGGATGGTGAACCACCTCGTGGAGCTCCTTGGTGGTAGAGCATTTGCTGTGGTGACCAAACACCTGTCGATTGCTGAGGGTATGGTGATCCAAACTCGCCTGCTGAAAATGACACCGATTGTCTTGGGTTGAATTTCCCTTGCAAATGCGCATGCATCGAAGCTGGCGATGCAATGGAACCTGGATTAGAGCTCTGACTAGTTGACATGCCAGCGCCAGGCATAAGAGCCGGAGAGAATGGATTATGGGCTTGACTAGCAGCCGATGAAGTTGGTATCGGTGGTGAAAATGGCAATGGCGGGTATGTCGTTGAGGCTTGTCTGCTCATGTTCGACACAGCTGGTGAAATTAAAGGCGGAGGGTCTTCATCGCCTAGTGATACTCCAAGGGCGCGAAGCTTTGCTTCTTGGAGATCTTGAACATAATTATCCCATTCTACCCTGACTATCAGTATATATAATATGGCAGATCAAATATGACGATGAATGGTAAATAGTGAATGCCGAAAATTAGTGAGAATGTCATTGATATGAGTCTCATCGCTTGATGCAAGGAGTAGAAAGATAGTCGACCGTGTTTCAGGGGAGGAATGTAGGCGGTACACTCGGGACAGACAACCTCTTTTAAACCAAAGAATACAAGCTTACCTCTTCGATCAGGGATGCTAACTTTGAAAGATCTCTGCTGTCTTTCCTCAAGCACATCTTCAATCTGCGGCCAGAGGGCACAACTCTGGCCTTTTTCTGCATAACCGCTCACATTTTCACCTTCTCCTAGATTGAATCCAGATGTATCATAGCCCTGGTCCTCCCATTCTTTCAATTTAGCTTCAACATCCTTCTCAGTCATGGGAGTCGGTGCACCGCTTATTTGACCACGTTCGTCATCCCGTGGTAGTAAGACCATTATGTTCTTGCCCTTCCAAGGCACCTTTTTCTTCAGACGCGGAGGGTCTGGTGCTGGGGAGGGAGTAGACGCAACGTTCGGAATTGTTTGGGCTGCCGAAGCTGAAACGCTCCATTCTTGCTTCGGTGGAGGCGGGGGTAGTCTTTCATCGAACGAGGACGACCGAGCATTATTTTCACCGACCGATGCGGCATTGCCCATTGTATCTGACATGCTGGGGCGCACCGAATCCGAGAAGTCTTCCTGCTTCAAAGTGTCTGTGCTTTGCTTTCTGTCTTGTCTTTTTTTCTTTGAACTGCGCGCCTTTTCTCTTGAGTCAAGAAATCGCTGGAGGGTCGGTGTTCGCGGATCGGCGTCCTGCCTATTGTCTCCTGAGATGGATCCGCTCAGTGAAGAGTGCTCACTATCTCCAGGGTCGTCACTGAGCCAATGGTTCGCCTCTCCTGATTCTCCACCTGTATGTTGTCGGATCCAGTCTTCAGTCAAACCTTGAGCTGGTCGTCGAGCTCGATTTGCGAGAACAGCGGCACTGATGAGCCCGTCTTGCGAAACGAAGTCGGGATCGCTGGTCTGGCGCGTGAAAGTCGGAGGCGGACGTAAGTACGGGGTATGAAAGTCGAGATGGCGAATGGGCGAATCTTCCGATGGCTCGCTGCTCAACGTATTACTATGGGCGTAGGAATGTTTTGGTTGGGATTCGCTGGGTGGTGGCCGCGGGTACGGAGATCCCCAGCTCGCGGTGTAGTATTGACTGTGACTGCTATCTGTTCGGGAGGCAGATGGGGGAGTTTTCAGGAGCTCGATGGCTCTACCGTTCAATGTAGGGGCTGGAAGGGGAGGTAGTATGGGCGACGAGCCTCCTTCGGCAGTGGAGCTTGTCGACAAAGCTGGCGATCCGGGCTGTTCACCAAATTGTGAAGGAGGGTTCGGGGGTCCTTCCTCTGCCTTGGCAGCAGGAGGAGGGGTTGATGGCAATGAAGACGTTGTTTAAATATCTAACAGGCATCGGCGCGTTAGTATAGGCAATTCTCGAAGGCGGCTCAACTCCAGGACAACGCACCACACCGAGACCAGCACAGACGAAGCCCCTGTCGTCTGCTACTGTGTCTCTATAATCTGCCCGAGCCCAACAGTCTTCCAGGGCCGTGTTAGTAGTCGTTGTTTGGATTAAAATGGTTGTTCCGACGCGTTAAAAGGGGAAAAAAGACAATTAAAGGAGTGATATAAGGCAAATGAGGCAAGAAGTAATGTAATTATGGAGAAGTACAAGAAGCCAAAGACATCCAATCAAGCCAGCAAAGGCGAAGGCGAAGGCATACACTCGGGAAGGGGGAGGTGTATGCGATGTGCCTGTCGGGAAAAGGGTTGGTGATGAGTGCAGAGTGCTGTGATGGTTGAAGATATTCACGCTCTGTTCACGCGGGAAATAAAACGTTGCGCGAACTCCTGATGGGGACGGGGGTCATTGAGTGTTGACAAGGATCTTCCGTAAGTGCTCAGTGGCCGGGCCGCTTAGGAAATTGGTTGGCTAACTGGGCCGAACAATTTATTAAGTTAATGCGAAAAACAGCCGATGATGAAGAACCAAATGTTTATTTTTATTTTTTCATATTGCGATGATATTATCAATGTTTGTTGATGTTCTTATTATTGTTGCGAATAATATTAGATGAGAAGCTATCAGTTCAGTTCAGTTCAGATATCCGATTAGGGTTGACAGTTGTCAACGACAAATCGTGTCACTTCACTTCGTACCTGCAGGAAGGAAGCGGGAACAACCGAGTCAACCTTCCATTTTTTCATCTCAAGGCTTGAAATGTCTTGCTTCGAGACACTATAAACTGTCCGACGTACGGTAAACCATTTATTTACACATGCATGCAGGTAGAGGCGTACTTGTAAAAAGATGCAACTATGCCCACGCCCTCCCCGCAATGATTATCGTAAGCCGCCCCGAGCCGTTGACGCCGAAGCCACTTCAACCCTCGAATACGCACTACATGAACTATTACAATACACTTACTGTACTGCGGATTGTACCTAGGTATGCTCTCAAGTAGTTACGAAGACAGCTCCCAGATGTATGACCACAAGGGGCAATTTTAGGCTTACAGATATGAAAATTACGTGGAAGACAGAAATGCAAGGCGTAGAGTATGGACAATTTGTTGTATAGTAGGTAGCTGTAGCCTCAAAGTAAGACTAGGAGGAATTGCCAATTTTCAGCAGAATTGTAAGTGAAAGAAGGGCCTCTGGAATGTTAATTGTAGTCTGTAAAATCCAGAAGATCCGTCGAAATTCTAAGACCGCGGACAGGAAATAGTATGATGTTGTATAACCAATACTGCGATCCTATATGCACATCCCACCCTCATACGCACTGAATATAGATACAAACAAACAATGCCAAATAACACCATAGATGCATTATCTTCTATATATACACCCCAACCCCCTCTATTCTACAACGGCTTCTGTAGTTTGCTTCGTCGAATAGAGTCTAAATTGGACAAAGATTATTGCGTCTTCGGCGATTGTTCCCAACGAACCAATCAACCAGGGTAGATTGAGCATCACGTAATCCCTCTCCAAGGAATGGCACAAGATGCTAGCTCCGTAAGTAGCATTGCCCATCAAGCTTAAGAGAAAGAAGAGTAGAGCAAGTCCTACAGATCCATTGTTAGCGTTATCCCCAACTATACGCATAGAGGAAGCTCACCATCACAAGACTTGTCCTTGTAATTCTTTACAATCTGTGGAATCCTCGCCCTATCGCCTGCATTAGCAACCACCACATTCCACATACACATGACAAACATACCCAAGATAACAAACGGCACTCGTATACCCCAAAATCTTCGCCCCCAGCGCCGTCTCATTCGCCGGCTCCAAACCGGCATCCAAAGGACTCGGCTTCCACACGCCCGCTTGCCACGCAATAGCCCACCCTGCAGTCCCAACAACAATGACGCCCAGCACACTAAGACTATTCTTCACCCACTGATTGCCCGTCCCCTCTTCATTCTCCTCCAAAATCTTACTCAGTGGAGATTCAGAGTGCTGGCTTGTGCCACTACGAGCAGAAGAACGGCGTCGGTGAGAACCAGGGAGACCGATGGTGTCGTTGGAGTACTGGCGCGTGAGGAGCGGTTCATGCTCGGAGATGACAGATGATTGTCTGCGCTGGGCGTTGATGTGATTGTAGTAGAGACATTGGGAGATAAGTACCAGGTCAGCGATGCAAAAGTAGATGGCAAGAGCAATGACGGTAGGGACAAGGTCTGCCCAGATCGCACCTGGAGTGTGTCAGTTCGGCACGTGATATAGTATGGAAAGATGACTGTGGGTGTGAAAATAGATCAAGGAGTGGAGTAGCCTCAAAGTAGTCAACAGTACGATCAGGAGAAGATAGAAAATCGTACCAGAGAGATTCGTAATATCCCCTACCATCCAAACGATCAAAAATGCCAACGAAATCCCATCTGCCCTGCCCGTCTTGTAATTCAAGATCAGTTGCGGCACCTATTACACATACAGTCAGCGTATTTCTTCCTAGGTAAGCACCTACCCTCTTTCCCTAGTAAGCACGTACCAGAAGAAAGATCCATGTAGCCAGACTGATACTGCCAAATATCCCAGATAAGGCTTCCTGTGGTATTAGGGCTTCCGATAAGGCCGTTGCGGAGGACATATTGGGAATACCTAATGGACGACAGAGGGAAGAAAGGAAGATGAGGTTGAAAGAGGGTTTGTGACCAGCAGAGTCGTGAATGAAGAGGTCAACTGAGAAGCTGTCTTATATCGGTCGAGTCGGCGTGATGGATGATTGGTTTAGTCTCATGCACACTTTTCTGTTGGAGATAAGGTTGGCGCCATTGCCGCAGCAAATTTTTAGGCGCGCGGCCAGCGCGGATCCTACCCGGATTACTAAACAACCAGTGGCAGCCATGCGGTAAACTTTCACAATAACCCTTGAATCAGCGGTTTGCAATTGTATTGCCCCAAAAATAAAGAAACTCGTTATAATGATAACGAACCAAAGCGAGGCAGAAGCTAAACCTCATCCATTTCATTCAAAGCCCCGGAATCTGCGATCTTCCTCTCCAACGAGCAGCTCTAGAAGTAGGCGTTCAACCCACCACTATTCTCAGCGACTCGCCGGAGAGGCCGAGGGAAGCTGGCATTTCGCTCACATGATTATTTCTTCTTTATCGGTAGTGCAAATGGCATATTTCTGTCCACAATTTCTGAGGGCTGGATCAGATGTCTATACTGCGAGGTAGCCTATTGCGACTACCCTCTACTCCCGGACGTTCGAATGCATCCTAGGCCCTCCATGCCCATTTTGCTCCGTCCTTGTACACAGCATGTCTTTTTCTAAGGGTTTAGACATGCCAAGCTACATCAAACTATACACACAGAGAGATCAAAAGAGCCTACAAGGAACGGTGGAGCTCGGGAATACAGTAGGTTCGACAGCTCGCAGACCCGCTTCTAAGGGGGAATTGTTTAGTAGTAGAAAATGTGTTTATGTGATGTGTGAGCTGTCGGGAGGTAATTATCAAATGATATGTTAATTTTGAATGAGGCTGTTGATTAACACAGTAATCTCTCCTACTCGCCAACCACCCAAAACCACCACAACATGTTTTTCAATCTCCCCTCCCAACGGCAAGAGAAAGCACCACGTATAGTGCAAAGGACAATACAGAGTAAGAGGTTTATTTCATAGCTGAACTATCAAATATACGTCCGACTACTATTTCAAAAGAAAGGCACAAACAACCAGACCAAGACCAGCACCGAGATGACTTGCAACGCAATGCATAACTCTCCAGCGCAGAGAGGAATATCTTGCATTATGCGTTGTCTGCTTCAATATCCTCGTCAGGCAACACTGGCAATCCCAACTGATTCCGGATTTTATAGACACCCGTCTTCCACGTCTTGTATGCAGAAGGTCCTTCTCCAGGGGCCGATCCTCTGAAGTCGCGTCTCAAACGAGCATTTCGTAACTGTTCAGCCATATCCCACTCAAAGTATGATTCCCCATCTATCGTCAAGCTCATGATGCCAATCCTTTCAAAGAGGAAGCAAGAATATTTGAAGTAGTACTTGCAGTCCCACTGTTGGATCAAGGTATCCATGTGGGATTGTAGAAATTCCGCGAGGATTGCTGGCGAGACCACATACTCGGGATCTGCTATCTCCGAGTCCGGTGGGCTATCCTTCTCGCGCCTCACGGGCCGTATAACGTGCTCCCATTTCTCGGCAGAAAAAAAGGCTGATTCTGGGACGTCAGGCGTTATGATGTCTATTTCTAGGACCTTGATAGCACAGTCTCCGCTGAATTTTTCTGGGTTGACCACAGGCCCGACATTAACAAAACGTTCTAGGATCTTGTGGAAAGACCATGAGAGCACTGGAGGACCTCCGCATCCAACCCTGAAGCCACTGTATTCCCTCGCAGCCGTGAGATCGATACGAATGGAAGTGTGCACTTTATCGACAACGTTTGTAAGAGCAGGAACGGCCAGCCACGTTGGGAAGAGACATATTCCATCGACTACCATGATATCCAGCAGATATGTATATTTCAAGGGATGGACATCGATTACCGCAAGAGTTTCCTTGCATAGCTGGCGGTTGACGAGAAGAGTAGGAATCCAATCCGTTCTGTTCATCCGTGGTCTGTATCTCACATTGGACATGATATCGTTTGTCAGGTCGCCTCGATCGATCTCCGCAGAATGACTTGCTGGGGCTTCTGATGGCATGGAGATGACGAGGCTGAGGATGTTATCGCGCAGCTCGCGGGGGAGACCGAGGAAGGTAACCATCTTGCAGATACTGGGAAGGTTGTACAAGGGATGAGAACTGGAAGGAATTCGCAGGTTAAATACTCTTACATCGCTACAACTCGTTGGTCGGTTTCAGGCAGCCTTGTGTTGGAGAGAAATGCGGGACTATACTATTTACTTACGTCAAGTTACTTGTTATACGAAATAGGTGGCCGAAACTAGGTATATGTCACACCTTAATAACCTCATTTTCTCCTTTACTTTTAGGTCAAAAATGAATAGAAAGGATTCGGAAAATTATATGAAGCTTTATAATCATTTAGCATTGCAAACTTGATTTCGTATTTGATCCCCGTGAAGAAAATAGACTTTTTAGGTGCTAGTAATGTCGGCCACTTATTTCGTACACCGAGACCAAGAGTAGAGTAGGGTAGGTATCCCATGCAATATAGCAAGTGTAGCCTACCTAAAATGGCCAGGCTGAAGGAGATGGAAAACACTAATACTTGAAGAATTCTTAACAATTAATACATAATTAGGCTGCTAGATATACATATTTCACATTCAGATCAATATCTATTTGAGCAGGGGAACCACCCAGCTCCGATATAACAACATACCCTTTCCATCCGCACTTCTCTTTTAAGAAGGCTAGCTTGGAGGGTGCCTTGCTCTCATGGCCCGCGTATGCCTCTCTGCACTCCCTCATGCCCGCGAGGCTTGTCTTCCTAAGTCAATGCCTTGACCAATCTGCGAGTCATACGCTCCTCCCCTTTCACACCATCTCCCCACTCAACAGCCCCTCATTCTCCTTCCACGTCCTCTCCTCCGCCATTTTCTGCTTCTGCTCCTCCTCCCGATCGGCCTGTTCAATCACATCCTCAATATCAAGCAGCGTCCCCATCTGCGGCCCCGCCACAGCACCACTCGAGTTCTCCCCATTCTTCACCACGGCAGGTTGTCCCTTAGAAAGCACACCCCCCTTCCTCTCCGTCTTCTCCTGCGCCACCCTCGCCCTCCTCGCCTCATTCTTCATCTTGTTCAACTGTTTATCAAGGCCCTTGCTATTAAGCACCCACGGATTCTGCCCCGAATACCCCATCACGAGCACGCGCCGCACATCCGGATGCGAGCACAGCATCTCGTAGTTCTCCCGCACCAGCGTGGCTTGGTGCAGTTCGTAGTCCTTCATACCTTCCTTTCCCTTATCCGTATACCAGATTATGCGCAGCGAGCCGGCCAGAAGCGGCTTGGGTACGATGCCGGTCCATGCCGTGTAGAGCTGGCCGCGCAAGAAGGAGAGGCCGGAGACGATGTAGGAGGTGTTTTGTTCGGTGGGGTGAGAGTCGAGGAATGTGGTGGGCGTGCCGATATCCATAATCGTGAGAAAGCTTCTAGGATGTGCGATTTGATTTGGTTGTGTTGGGATTCAAAGAATTGGGAATTGGTATCTGAAGTTCTGGAAGCCGGTGATGATAGTGGGGCCGCGCTAGTGCACAACTACTGTAATCAACCTCCTGCTCCTGCCAGTTCCCAGGATTCTTACTTTTATTCATCTTCACATAAATATGTTACTAGGATGAAGTAAACTTATTAGTGGAGAAGGGTATTCATTCGATTCCACGTCGTGAAGTTTCAGCAATGATTAGTAGCTTTATTAAAACTACTTCTGATACTTCGAAAGTATGCCGAGCTATCCCCAGCTAGTACCCGAGTAAGTATAGCATACCTCCTGAAGATATTTCTGAAGTGATTTAAAGACCCCGGCGACAAAAGACTTACCATTTGTTCATCTACAACCAGTGCTACACTTTAAACTATTAGGGAACTTACCTCAAAAGATTGATATCGTTTCATACGAATTAACTGCATCACCACTTGCGAAACAAACGAGGAACACAGTCCACTGAAGGATCCACTGGACTGAGAGGAGATGTCAAATTTAAAAATCAATTAAGTCTTCGAAGACGTTATCTAAACTTGAACGCTAACGGAAAGATATCAATCGTTCGATCTCGTAAATCATGAAGGCGTAATGTTACAGGCCGTTTCAAGAATAGCTAGGAGGTCCTCCCTGGGGAGGTGGTGGATAGAACATCTGTGGTTCGGCATGTGGGTCTTGGGCAGCGTGAAAGTTTGATCCCTGGGGAGGTGGGGGATAAAACATTTGTGGCTCTGTCGTGTGCGTGGCATGTCCCTCTTGGGTAGCATGGACATTTGAGGCCTGGGGTGGTGGAGGATAGGTATTTTGTGCAGTGTGAGGAGGTGGTCCTGGAGGTGGAGGTGGATAGTATGGTTCAGATCCTGAAGCTTGGGTGCCTCCAGGATATGCAGCGTGGTTACTTTCGGCAGCTGTAGCCCCAGATGGATGTTTGTAATCCGCGGGGTAGCCACTTTGAGGGTATGCCTGCGCTGGGGGACCATAGGATGTTTGAGAACCTGAAGTTTGAGCAGCTGTTGCAGCCCCAGATGAATGCTTGTAATCTGTCTGAGGAGCGTAAAAGCCTTCTGGAGGGGCAAAATGTGCTTGCTGTTCAGATGTTGGGTTCGAATTGTGCTCCACGGCTGACTCTGATGGAACAGGATACTGATCGACTTGTTGCAGTATCGTAGGATTGACATCCGTCCGCCCCTCAGCTTGCTTCACGACCTCCATCAACAGCCTTGTTTCCGTGGGGACATTTCTGACATTCCCCGCTAGAATGCTGCCAACATGCAATTTTTCTCCGTAGAATCTCGCATTCTCATCGTATCTTTCCACGATTATGGTCCCATCAGCCTGGACCCCAGCGTATAATCCCCGACTTTTCATATAACTGAACACCGGCTTTCGATGCCTCAACAGTTCGGACTCCAATATTCCACCTGTCCCAACTGGGCCTGCAACAGCTGATACCTCCCCACCGAGCGACAATCGCACCTTGCTAAAGGCCCCCAGCGCCTTACGATCGTTAATCACAATGACGCAGTCGTAAATGTCAATTCCAGCCATCCAGCCAACCCCTAGAGTATGAATTAAGATTCCAGATGGAGGCGACCAGCTTCCATCTTCCTTCCGTGCTATCAAAACGCCTGAGCCACCTGCTCCCGAGACCCAAAGTCCCGTTCGCATGGTACTGAATATTGCCAAACCGACACATTTCTGGATGACCTTCTGAGGAATCTTGACGAGAACTTTCGGTTTAGTCTTTGGGCCTGTGCCTGGAGATCCGGGTTTGCTTGTTGGTTGTTCGGTATAGAATCCATCCTCTGCAAGTAATCGATTAGTATTGGGTGTGGGAAGGAAGTAGGGGGTCCATACTGCAAAAGGACTTTAGGATCCGCGCTGCCTTGTCGCATTCTGGTCCTAGTTGCGTTGGCCAGAATGCTTCCGAGCCTATCTTGTTGGTGAGTTTGTTGACGGGCGCACCGAGTTTCTCGAATGCGGCCCAGCCTTTATCGAATGTTGCTTTTCCACCATGTTTCGCTTTCTCCCAAGCAGATGATTTGTGTGCTTGCTGCTGTTGTTCTGCCATATTGAAGACGGCGAAAGAAATGCGTTCTGAGGTTCGTGATTAAGTGGAGGTTGATGTTAAGGCAAAGAAGGTCGAGGGTAAATACCTGGTTATTGACAGTTGATATATATATGATAAGGGCGGCGGACCCCGCAGTGGGGGCTTGGTGTGAATGACGAAAGGCCGCGAATTTCAGCCACAATGTTGGGCACTAAGTAAGTAAGGGGTTGTCCAATGAGTATCACCCTTTTTGCCCCTGATTTGATCTCAGCCACAATTTGCTTGGTGACTCCTTAGAGGCGAAAGCGCATCCAGAAAGCTGCCATCTCGCTCGCTCAGGTTTTTCTCGTCAACATTCGCTTTTGTATTCTGTATATGCCACTGAAGAAAGGAGTAGTTCTCTTGATGGTCATCGATATTATTTTGTCTCTGGACAGGATACTTTGCGACAGGCGCAGAACCATAGCGATGAGATGCTGCTCCTGCAAAATTATGTGTGGAAGGTTGGGGCAGATATCTTCCATTTCATAGGTAGGTACAGTAGTATTGCACAGAACGCGTTCTAACGATACATGATTTTCTTTCCCTTCCAGCTACATTTCTCCACAACGAACCCACGGTCAACAAAATCAGTCATTAACAAAAGCTCCCACTCTAAAAGTCTTGGTGTCCCAGTTGGGAATATTCTACTTTTTCCCTGCTCAAAGTGTCAGTTTATTTGTCTATCTCGGGTCATCTGATAAAAGCATACCGTTTGTTGAAATCATATCCTTGTTGCCTCCCTTTGGAGGACAGACCGGCGCCGAGTCGTGACACTTGTACACAGAGACTTCCGCAATGGGTAAAAGAAAAGGGGTATATTGACTGTTCATAGCATTGCGCTATTATTGCTCCATTGTTCCACCACCCTCGACGGTATGCTTCGAACGCGAAATATCAGAATCATGAACGACCGGAATGTGTAAGGTCTGCGCTGCAAGATAGAGGGACTCTGCATATGCATCTGCGTATGCCAACATGTATCCTCCGCAACGACAGACATGCACTGCTTCAGCATCTACTCTCGTATGATCAAGATGTACACTTTATATTCGACTTTCTTCTCGTATCGTTTCGTATGGCCAGCAGAACGACATGCCAACGATTCAATTTCCCGGCGCAATGGGACAACAAGAGCATACTCTACACGACAAGTTAGCCAGCTGAAGCATGTAGAGGGATGTCAAAAAAATACTGACTTGTCAAGGTAGTAGAACGTAGGGTGGTCAGATGGACAGCCAGCATCCTGTTCAATAACAGCACCTTCATTCGGACAATTCTGACATACCCCGCCGTCGTAGTTCGGGTATGCACTCATGGAAGGATATGCCGTCGTTGCGGTTGATGTAGCTACTGCACTCGTAACCGTGATCAAAGTTGGCTGGGAGTCGGCAAGTGCAAGTGTCCCCAATGCAAGCCAGGTCAACAGATATGTTCTCATTTTTGTAGAATTCGTTGGTACGGGTTTAGGGATGTGAGTTGTGTTTTCCAGCAGAAGGAATTTGATTCTTGGGAAATTGTCGAGATTATGTGAGTGTGCAGTTGCAACAGCAGTATATATTGCTAGCCAGAAGAAGATGTATTTGGAAATTTTACTCCTCAACAGACGCAAACGCCATGTACTTGACCATTGAGGCGATCCGGATCTGGCAAGCTCGACAGCGCTTACTAGAGTTTTACAACGACAGCCGCCGACCCACAGGGCCGTATCCTTCGGGCCAAGGTGAGACCAGCTAAATTTAGAATGACTCCCGGAATAGAAACGTGTAAACAAATTTGTATAGTAAGGTTGATAAGTATGGATGCATGATCGAATTGTCCCTCACTTTTCATTAATCCTATATTTCGTTGCGTCTCGATAACGACGAGCAGATAACTTCCAAACCCCGACTAGTACTACCATTTAAAGGATCAAGTATAGCAAATACCATTATGAAATCTATAAATAATCCCGCCATCCAGCGTCGACAAACGAACGACCAATGTTAGGACCTACCTTTCTTTCTTTCTATGCTTAATTAATACCAGGGCGCAGCAAACTGGCCACGCCAAAAGAGATCGATACACGTGTCGAGAACATCTTCGGACGCAGCATGAAACCCCAAGCTCTGGAGACGATGGCTTTAAATGGAGTGTCGTTGTGAGGCTCGTAACATGTTGGCCATTCACGCGCGGATAGCCCGCATTTGCCGCCGGGGTTTCATACTACGGACCGAAGCTTACGACGATTGGCTAGACGGTTAAATATGGAAATAGAACGCTAGGGGTTCATGGAAGAAGCTTAAATCAACAAGCGGGTATTTTTCGCGAAAGGCATTATTTGGAAGATTTTGGTATGTTTCCGCAATAAGATACAGTACTCTGTTACATCTTTCCATTTCTCTTTTAAATTCTTGATGATAAAAATATCAATAGAGTAATTACTCTAACTTCAAAGTCTCGTGTTATTATTATGGTTTCAGCTATGAAAACAGGCTTGTCCTACCATGACTCGCTATTTCTGTTCTGCAGATGCATCTGGAGAAGTCTGTTAAGATGATACAAAGAGAGATGTTGAGATATCCAAGCATCGCAATATCTCCTATACAAACTGACAACCTTTACTAAAGCCGTTGGTCATACGATATTATGTGGGTATGTCTTACGTTATACCCCGGAGTAGAACCACTCAACAGTAATCTCTGCAGCTCTTACAGCCCGTGTCTTCTGCTGGGAGGCGGAGGATACGGTCGATCTGCGGTGGTCATCTTTCACGATGACCGGGTCTGACGGACATGAAATTATACAAGTATCTCAATTCAAGGCCGCATCCATCCTTGGCTTGCAACTCTATCTCAAAAAGTGCGGGGTATGATCACGTGTTGGGCTTTAAGCATCCTCCCGAGCCTCCGTAGCGCGTGACCGGAGGCGGGATCTTCGTCTTGGCAGGGGGGTTAGTTAGACTTCAAACATGACGATGTGTATCCAGTTTTTGGTGTCCAGTTTTTCATCTCCACTTTAACTTTGTCTTTCCAATTTGTCTTTTGCTCTTCTCCATGACTGGTTTAAACTTGTCACTTATCGAACTTATCTCGGTCTCGCCGAACCCCCAAAACCGCACCACATTTTCGGCCCGCATCAGACAAGTGCTAACGGCTAAGGAAAGTACCACCTCCCTCCTTTGTTTCAATGGCACGATCTTCTTCTTTTCTCTCTTTTATTTCCCCTCTTTCATTCTCTCATCTCTCGAGACAATCCGGAACCATTCAATACTCCCAGCATGCCACATCACCCAGAAAGTGATGCAGACGCAGCCCGTCTGGCTAACCTTGGCCACAAGAGCGAATTAAATCGCAACTTCTCTCCTCTTTCTATGCTGGGCCTCGCTTTTGCAATCTTGAACAGCTGGACCGCTCTCGCTGCAAGCTTGTCGTTGGCATTGCCAAGTGGTGGTCCAACATCTGTGTTATGGGGACTGATCAGTAAGTCATACAACAAGTCTTGGCCACACCAAACTGAATTTTTTTTTCAGCTGCCGGCGTTTGCAATCTTTGCCTTGCCGTTTCGCTCTCCGAGTTCCTTTCTGCCTACCCTACCGCAGGGGGTCAATATCATTGGGTCGCTGTGATAAGTTGGAAAAGATGGGTTCCTATTCTTAGCTGGATCACTGGCTGGATTAATGTTTCTGGTTGGATAGCATTAGTTTCATCTGGGGGTTTGCTTGGAAGTCAGCTGATCGTGGGAGTCATATCCCTCATGAATCCCACTTACGATCCTCAAAGGTGAGCCAATTCTCATACGATTCTTCATAACTATTTCACAGGAGATGCGACTTTTAGAGCACCATTGGAATCCAGGGCAGTTGTGTTGGCTTCTGGACTAGCGCCCTAAATGGCGCTAGGCAGCTTGACCCTTCCGGAAGCGTGCACTATTTACTTTGCTGACTCGCCATACAGATGGCATCAATTTCTTATTTATATTGGATACAATCTGGTTGCATTCTTAGTTAATGCATTCATGACCGATGCATTGCCTGTTATCACGAAATCCGCATTCCTGTGGTCACTGGTGGGATTCGTCGTGATTTCGATTACTGTTCTGGCTTGTGCGTCGCCGGAGTACTCCTCTGCGGAGTTCGTCTTTACTGAATTTTTGAACGAGGTAAGCTTGCCACCCTTGGTATTATCTTGTTATATTCCTCGAGGAGGGAGAAGCGCCTGAGCTCTCGTAAACCAGTTCCGGTAATCTTGTAAATGGCTGCTTCAAAAAAAGAATCTCGGCTCCCTTATAATTTATCGCATCTCATGCTAATTATCTGTGCGAAATCAAGACTGGCTGGCCTGACGGAATATCGTGGCTACTAGGTCTCCTACAAGCTGGGCTTGGATTGACAGGTTTTGATGCCGTGGCTCACAGTAGGTCCTTCTCTTCATGGCCTGACGTCTGCTAATATGGCATAGTGATCGAAGAAATCCCCAACCCCGAAGTCGAGGGCCCGAAAATCATGATCGCTTGCGTTGGCATTGGTATCTTCACCGGGTTCATCTTCCTCATGGTTCTTCTCTTCGTGGCAGGAACAATCGATGGTCCTGATGGCGTGATTGAGTCAACGGCAGGGCCGCTACTTCAAATATTCTACAACGCCACTGGAAACAAGGCTGGAGCAATCTGCCTCTTGATGTGAGGATCTCTAGTTCGGGCTCTCATTCTCTGCTGACTGATCTAGATTCCCTCTCGTGTGCCTCCTTTTCGCAACCACTAGCATCATGACTACATCGAGCCGAATGACCTACGCGTTTGCCAGGTTTGTACTTACCTTACCAATCAGAACTTTACTGACATGGACACAGAGACGGAGGTCTTCCCGTATCTCGCTTTTTTGCCAAAGTCCACCCTCGACTTGATCTGCCCCTCAATGCTCTCTATCTGACAGTTGTACTGGTGGTCATATTCGGGTGTATATTCTTGGGGTCCAGCAGGTACTTAATTCTGCACTTTTCTTACAAGGTGGAAGCTAACCTGGCTCAAGCGCGTTCAATGCCATCATTTCAGCCTCAGTCGTTGCCCTTGGCGTTTCATATGGCATTCCTATTGCTATCAATTGTCTCCGTGGAAGATCCATGCTCCCAGAGTCACGGCCCTTTAAGCTATCTCCACTCCTTGGGTGGACTGCAAATCTGGTATGTTGAACCTCTTTTGTTCATGGTACATGCTGACAGTGATCGCTAGATCGGGCTTGCGTATGTGATTGTGACGACGGTCCTTTTCTTGTTCCCGCCAGATCTTCCCGTGACCGGATCCAATATGAGTATGCACTTTCCAATCTCCCAGCCTTTAAAAGCCATCCCGCAATATTTATGATAATACGGTATACTGATTCTTTTACAGATTATTGCGTCGTCGTCTTCGCCATTATCCTAATCATCTCAATAATCCAGTGGTTTGTAGACGGCAAGAAGAATTTCACGGGCCCTCGGATCAATATTGAGGGTCTACAAAATGGAGAGGTTATAGGAGTAGACCCGATATTGGCGTTGCCAGACTCGAGTTTGGAAGAGCAAGGAAAAAAGATGTAAGGCGATCTGTATGTATCTCAGTCTGTACTATAGATGAAACTCATCTTCAACAATGGACTCTCCTCAACCATGTAAATTGACATTTTAAACATACGCGAACGACTGCCTTATGTTTTTGACATCTCATTTATATGAATTCTTTGGTTTTATGTCTCCACTTATCATTCCGGGCTAAACATTAGCTGAGCCTCGTCGCCCACAAAATATTTCTTCTAGGCTAGTACTATATTCAATATTTGTGACGAAGTAGTTTAGGCACAAGTTTAGGGAGTATTTTAGTATATATCAGGTGTCATGGTTCATCAGATATGTCTTGATTCGGTTGCTACCAAGTAAAATGATGCTTGTGTTACCTTAGAACATTTTCCCGCAAGTTCCTCCGCGCTCCGCACTACGCCGCACCGTATATCTACTTGGTCTTATCGTTTTCACCCCCATTTTCTAGAGAACGACCGTTTCTATCTTGAGATACCTAGTTTTGAAATATACAACTAACTGTGAAGAATCTGTCGGTCTGTTTACTTAATCAACAACGCTAGCATGGAATACGTCAGGTAAACATTCTGTTACAGATCAAGTTCACAGTAATGAGAGCTGACATGTATACTTCAAATAGATTGGGTGATTCGGGGCTTTACATCTCAAAGATCATTCTGGGCACAGCTGGCTATGGCTCTTCCAGGTGGCAGGACTGGATCCTGGAGGAAGAAGAAGCATTGCCATTGCTCGAACACGCGTTTAAAGTTGGAATTAACACCTGGGACACAGTTCGTTTTATCATCCTTGTAAGATCCCTAAAGTTGATTGATATCATCTAGGCAGACGCATATTCCAATGGACGCTCGGAAGAGATTATTGGCAAAGCTCTCAAAAAGTACGATATTCCTCGGTCGGAAGTCGTTATACTCAGCAAGATTTTATACGCCATTGATCCTATCAAGCAATCTCCCATATCAGAACTGATGACAAAAGACAAGCAGGGTCTCGTCAACCGCGTCGGCCTTTCCCGAAAGCACATTTTCGATGCCGTCGAAGCTAGTTGCAAAAGACTGGGGACGTATATCGATGTGCTGCAAATCCACCGATTGGATCGCGACACACCAGCCAAGGAAATCATGAGGGCGCTAAACGATGTCGTGGAGAGCGGCCAGGTCAGATATCTCGGCGCGAGCTCCATGGCGGCTTGGGAATTCCAAAAGCTACAAAACGTAGCCGAGACGCACGGGTGGCACAAGTTTATCTCGATGCAGAATTACTACAACATTCTATACCGAGAAGAAGAGCGGGAGATGATCCCATACTGCCGCGACAGTGGCGTGGGGCTGATACCGTGGAGTCCATTGGCGCGCGGTGTGCTTGCGCATCCCTGGACAGACCGCAGTTCGAAGCGAGAGCAGACGGACAAAGTGCTAGCGAATCTGGTGAGGAAGAAATCTTCCGAGGTGGATGAGGCGGTCGTGGGTCGCGTTGCTGAGCTGGCGGAGAAATACGGTGTGCCGATGGCTACTATTGCACTTGGGTGGTGTCTGAAGAAGAATATCTATCCCATCTCGGGTCTTCACAGCATTGCGCGAATTGACGAGGCTGTGTCCTCGGTGGGCTTTCGGCTGACTGATGGAGATTCTGCGTATGTAGAAGAGCTTTACGTTCCGAAGGAAGTGATATCATAGGAGCCCGAAATAGCTAGCAATGGCTTCCGAATATATACAAGGACTAAATAATATAGTCCTCATTTTTAGTTGATCCTAATGTTTAGAGCATCAAGATTCAGGGGGGGGGGGGGGGGGGGAGATTGGCTTACACGAGATGGTCTTTCCAAATGCGTGATGTTGCTGTAGCGGAAACGTCTACGGTACTTCCCCCGTTCTCCGGTATCACGGGCACGGGCTGGAAGAGGATTTTCTCACGAACCATTCTGCCTTGACGTGTTCGTCGCTGTCGGACCAGTAGAACCCATGACATGATAACATGATACTGTGAATGAAGAATATGATTTTCTGATATTCAACTTGCCCTTTGTCATGTCATGAGTATAGTTTTTGCGATTTGGTCGCTAGTCAGCCCCTGAACCTCCTAAAAACCAACACTGGATTCGCCTATCGCTATCCCGAAATGTCGATCTCTTCTGTTTCCTCATCTGATGTTTATCCCCATTCTGACGGATTATTTTCCAAGCCCCCAAGCCTTTTTGCACCTCCAAATAAATCCGTCTACAGATGCTGCCTTGTTTGTGCACCAGGGTCTGAGAGCGTCTGAGAGCGGCTGACCGCCCCTGGGGTAAATGAGGGGGGTTGGTGCGCATGGCGCGACACTGTGCCAGACAATAATTCCCCGCACTCCACTTCTCCATCCACTTCTCCATCCCTCTTCTCCACACGGGTGTGGGAGGAAGCTCCTCGACAACGCGTTCCTGCCCCGGCCCCTGCAACCTAATCTGGTCCTACATCTACATCTACATCGACATCGACATCGACATCTACACTGACACTACTTCCCCACGTGAATAAATTGTCATATACTTCTTCTAATGTAATACACCTCTACAACACACTCCTTATTGCAAATTTGAATCCAAGATGCCCAATATCGACGAGGGATCAGGTTCTGAGGCGGAAGCCTTCCCATCGCGACCTAAGAAAGCGCAGAATGGAACCAAGGTTAATGGGGATGGCAAGTCGGGGAAATCTGTAGCTGAAGAGGAAGGCCCAGCGTGAGTCTTGAATTTCAAGTTGCAACATTAATGCTAAGGATCCAGGGTCAGCTGCCAGTCTTGTCGAAGAAAGAAAGCGAAATGCTCCCGGCGGCAGCCATGCTCACAATGCGTGAGATTCAGTGCGTTTTGGAACTGCCATTACTTTCCAGTTACTGACCTCCTGGAGATATCGACTGTCTCTACGATGATAAAAAGACAAAGCCGGGGTTACGAACGGGCGCCGTCGAAAACTTAAATCAGCGTGTTGGTATGGCCACCACATGACCTTTGGCATATCTTTACAGCTAACAGGCAATGTTCACAGTCGCACTGGAGAACATGTTCCTTGGCCAAGGTGTACTTTGGCAGCAGGTCTGGAACTGCTTATCTTCTATCCAAGCCCAGCCATCGCCGGCTCTGCCCGACGATACTACTTCTGGGGCTACTTTGAAAGAATGCACCGCACGATTGAAGCGTACATTATCGACCTTGTCCGTAGAAACTCTTGAAACAGTAAAGCCGACCATGGAGCCCCCTCGAAAGAAAAGGCGCAATTCTACAGATACTCAAGATCAGACCCAACTGAAGCCTCAACCGGCCACATCTGATGCTGACGAGAATGACTTGCCACCTGACGATCTTATAGACGATTTAGTTGAAATCTACTTTAGGAGTATTCACCCCTGGATTCCCATATTACACGTCAGACACTTCCGAGCGAGGATGAAGATACCAGACCAACGTCGAAATCTCACAACCATTTTTCACGCCATTGTATCGTTATGTATTCGATTCTCGGAGGACGCAAGGGTTAGCGATCCCAATGTTAGGGCTAGATATTCGAAACGAAGTAGGCAGACTGTTATTCTGCAAAGTATGGAATCTTTCTCTGTTGAGAACCTGCAGGCGCTGGTGATTTGCGCCTTTGACACAGTAAGCGACCATTCCCTCAATACATAATTGCTTGACGTCTAAGTTGCTCTTAGATTGGAAGCGGCCGTGGGCCTTCTGCATGGTCTATTGTGGGAAGTATGACACGCACTGTTGAACAATTGCAGCTCAGTGTGGAAGACGAGGATCAAACTAAATCTGCCGAATTTCTCATCAAGCGAATGGCATTTCTCGCACCTTGCAAAAGCTGGATAGAAAGAGAAGAACGACGACGTGTTTTCTGGAATGTTTCCTGATGGATCGCTTCTGCAGCATCGCTACAGGATGGAACTTCTCTTTGACCAGCGCTGATGTCAGAAGACGACTGCCATGCGAGGGCGCGTTATGGGAGGAGGGAAATCCACTTAACACCCCAACGCCCTACTTTGGGGTTGCCGACAAGTCGACAAATAGTGCTCTTCCTACCTCGCGACCTGAACTGGACGACCAAGCATCAATTGGAGGATTTGCGTACTGTATTGAGGCATCGGAAAGCTTGAGTCTCGTCAGTACATTCTTCTTACGCCATGCGGTTAATGTGTCCAACATCCACGATGTGCAAGTATGGCTGATGAGATTCAAAGAACTTGACTTGCGGCTAGTACAGTAAGTGTCAATCAATATTCCTCCGTGAGTAACCAATTTTAGAAACTTACACCCTTCACCAGGTGGAAAATATTCTTACCCGAGCGCTGGCGCGAAGCCTGCGCTTTGAATAGTGATGGTATCATGGACCCGAACTTAACATTGGCACACATAACGCACAATACGGCAGTCGGTCTTTTGCATCAAGGGATTGCCTATCCTTCACAAGAATGGCAATCAAGTCCAATCCGTCTCCCTTCAGTGTCCAGTGCCGAAACGTGCTTGGCTGCTGCGACCGAAGTCGCCGTCATCGCAGAGAAATATTTGCAGGATTCTCTATCTCTCACAAACCCCCAGTTCGCGTTCTGTCTTTTCATGAGTGGGAGAATGCTTCTGGCTCACTCTCTTCACTTCAGCACGTCTCTTCCACCGCAATTTGAATTATTGACGAACAGTCTATTTGAGATTTCACGGCGCTGGAATGGGCCAGCGGAAAGCGAAACAGACAATCTTGCATCCAAATTTGCCTCCAGATTAGTCCAGGCCCGGTATAAAGGCCTGAATTCCTTGGATATCCGTCAAGCAGCATATTCGGAAGAACAAATCAGTGATGGTATGAACTCTACCACTGGCCCAAACATGCGATCAGGCGCTAGCAGCCTCTATCCTATGCCAGGAATCGCAGGTACCGCACTGCCACCATCTAGTACCCCATTGAAGAATGACGAAAGAGAAGACGGCAACATGGAGTCCACGATGATCATGGACCAAGAGGATTCGCCAGACAGTATATCACTCACATTCCCTCCATTGCCACCGGCCTTCCAACCCCACCTTGCCAGCAACACCCAGACAAGGATTTCTTCGCCAGTGTTAAGCGGCATGGACGCTAACACATGCTACAGTCAACATGGAGAAACAGGCTTTGGCTCTACTTACCCCGACCCACACGTGATGGGATATGGTGCTGGCACGGGAAACGCTTCTGGATTTGAGGACTTGAACTCATTCTTTGATTACTCGTTCGTGCCTAATCAACGAGTCAGTATGTTTGTTGGACCTCTGGCTCCGGAAAAAGACAACTCGCAGTAGCTGTGAGTGGGTTTACTGATTGTCTTTCAGGGACAATTTTGAACTCGGTTGTACAGATTCAATCATGTTCAAGGGTAGAATAGGGGCGAGCCCCTTGTCTAGGATTGAAGTCCGTGTGAGGAGACTTGCTGGTAAAAGTGCAGCAGTATACAAAGGAGGGATTCGGACGAAAAGAGCACAACCACGGCGAACAAAAAAGGTTTTGTGCATGGCGGTTTTTTGAAGACGGCGATGATACCGACGACCAATCATGAAGTCAAATTTGATGCAATTTCTAATATCTACTGATCTACTCTCCCACCTTACAGTACACTGAAGTTACTGATCTACGGAGGTACGACGAGTCTATTCTGCACCAACGCCCTTACCAATACCCATATCCAACAACTTGTTCCCAACGAGCAAAAAATAGTAGTCGGCGTAGACCAAACCATGATTCGCCCATCTCCTCGGCGCAAATTCGTAGTTGTTGATCGTAGCACCACGCACAATTGTCTCGGCCCCTTCCCCCATATCCACCTCCAAAGCCCCCACCTCGCTCGAAATGCCATGCTCAACAGACGAGATACTAACCATGTCACAGTTGAAACGCGCCGGTGGATTTACCTGAGCCACACACACAGACGCGAGAACATGCATAACGGCTTTCAAATACGGCGACGGTTCATCAAGTGCAAGCAGCGCCTCGTGCAGCAGCAGCATGCCGTAACATGCTATAAGCGCCGCACTCGTATCCGTAGGCGTCGTCGACGTAACGGGGGCCTTGAAATCGAAATACGGAACCCCGCTCGGTGGCAGATGCGCCAGGAAGTAATCGGAGCATTCCTGCGCCGTCGTGAGGAAACTCCTATCGCGTGTCCATAGATATGTTTGCGCGAACCCGGTGATGGCCCAGCTCTGCCCTCGCGACCAGCACGAGGTGTCGGAATAGCCTTGGTTGGTGAACTTGTCTTTGACGGCCCCGGTGTCCTGGTCGAAGTTCACGACGTGGAATGTGGTGGAGTCTGGGCGGATGTGGTGTTTCTGCGTGGTTTTGGCGTGGCTGATGGCTATTTGACGGAGTGCGGGATCTCGTAGTTCGGTGGCGGCCCAGAATAGGAGATCGAGGTTTAACATGTTGTCCTGTGATGTTTAGTGTTGTGTTGGGGCTGAAAAAGGAGCGTCCATATGATGTGAACATACTATGATGACTAGGAAATCCAATGACGGGTCCGTGAAAGAGTATCTGTTAGTCACGCAGGTATCCCACGATCGAAGACATTCCGTTTTAGGATTATATCTCGCGGCGAGCGTCTTTGCGGCTGTTATCAGCGTCCCGTAGGCTTGCACATCCTGGTCCAGTTCCCAGGCTAAACGTGCCCATGGGGAGATCATGAAACTCAAATCATGGGTCGTTGTGAGAGATGCGTTCTGATGAAGGTTCACTGTCCACCACTTGCATGCGTACTGCAGCTGCATGGGGTGTGGGGTCTGGGGCAGGCCGGAAAATGGAGGCGCTGGGAAGGATTCGGGATGTTTTCTTTGTCTCTCGAGAAGGAGGTACATGGATCCGGGGAAGAAGCCTGATGTCCAGAAGTCGAACTCTCGGTAGACGTATTTTGTACCACCAGGAGCTGTATATTCGGGAAAGAATGTGGGAGGAGAGGACTGGTTTAGGACATTAGCAACTATCTATCCTTTCAAACTTTAGCAAAGTTCTACCCTGTCGAGAGCTCTTTTTGCAACACCCCATATCTTTGCCACTGCAGACTCCGAGTATAATGCATCGATTGCACTGTTGGGAGTAGAAATGAGACTTATTGGCTCGTTGATTGGAGGACTTATAAGTCCAATCTTTGGAGGATGCACTGATGGCCTTGTTTTCTTCGAAATAACCTGCAAAGTATTCGTTAGTTTTAGCCAATTCATATCTATTGCTTCTATGAAGACAACCTTACAGCTGAAGTATCATTTCGGAGAAAAGTCGAACGGCTATCTTCCTCAGATTCAGTCACTGACTGTCTCGTTCGCTTTTTAGTATCGTTCATCTCAACCTCTAACATTAGACGAGAATATGGTGTCAAAGTAACGCTTGCTACGAAAGTCAGCGAGTGGTTTAAGAAATATCGCAGTAGCAGAAGAAGTTCTATGGATTTTAAAAGGGTCAGTTCTAGATATACAGCTACACGTTAGGCATCTTTGAGTGCCAAGATCTTGAGAGTCGTCTAGCCATAGTAGGCGACGGAAGGGGCAAGGAGTCAATCTGAGACCGGATGGGATCGTTGCTCCGTATCGTGAGAGTAGAAGGGGGCTCGTCTAGCGGAGACCGGCCTATGTACCGGAGCAGCCCGCCGGGGAATCGTAGGATCGAGAGCAAACTTTAAGCGGACGACAGCAACAGGTCATAAGAACATCCTATGAGGAATAGCGCTCCATGCACGAGCCCCGATCTTGCCAAAGAAGCAGAACCCTGTCATTGGTCTATTTGCGTGTTGGAAAGCGCATGCTGGGGAGTACTCACGGACTATCTCCTCTTCCTAGTGCCCGTCTACCTTTGGTACTTGATGGAAAGGACATCCGATAGAATTGAAGGGCTACATACGCGTGATTTATCGTCTTGATCGTTTCTAAAGTCGTTTAATCGGTTGTACTTCAAGGCAATTCAAACCCTAGTTATCGCTCCTTTGAGTTTTCAATCATTCCGAGAAAAGATGGGTAAAGAAGAAATAGACTCCGAGGTTCACCACGAGGACCAAATCACACCACACACGGCACCAGCAATTCCCCAGGGACATTTGGATCTCGATGAAGAGGTGTGTTCTAAACAACAATCCGACTTCAAATTCCTGTATGCTAATCTATCATAGACAGCAACCTATGCGGGAGTATCCGCCGCTTTCGTCGACAAAGAGACAAGCAAAAAAATGTTCTGGACGGTCAACAAAAGAATCTTGGCCTGTATGCTCGGAACATATTTCTGCCAATCTCTAGATAAGGGTAAGGAAGCGAGCGGCAAGATCCAACTTCTGCTAATATGCGGTCAGGCACGCTTGGCTTTGCCTCCATCATGGGAATCAAGAAGGAAGCACACCTCGTTGGCCAAGATTACAGCTGGCTTGGGACCATCTTATACATGGGTGTGCTAGTCGGAGAATACCCTACGAACATGCTTCTGCAAAAACTTCCAGTTGCAAAGTACATTGCTTTCAATGTTGGGTATGACTTTAGCTTTGTTTATTAACTTACCTCAATGCTGACTCTGTGATAGATGCTGGGGTGTAGTAATTGCCTGTTCTGCAGCTGCCAAGGATTTCAAGGGGCTAATGGTTGTTCGATTCCTGCTTGGGATATTTGAGTCGTGTGTACAGCCAGCTTTCATCATCATGTAAGTTATCTGTTGTGATGTTTTGGACTTGTAAATTCTGATTTTAAAAGGACTACTATGTGGGTATGTGAAGAGGAGAAATATATGCTCAAGCTATCAACCACTGATTATGATTTTCAAGTACACCAAGCGAGAGCAGGCAGTACTTACCTCTCTATGGTATTGTATGACTGGAGTTCAACTCATGGTAATATCCACTTGCCACTCTTGCCAATAGATTACTAATGAATAATGCTTCAGGTTGGCGGCATTATCGCATGGGGAGCTTCCCATTATGTCGGCCACAGCATATATTCTTGGCAGTTGCTATTCCTCGTTCTTGGGTGCGTCACAGTGGTTTGGGCATGCTTCATCGGTTGGTGGGTTCCTGATAGCCCCATGAAAGCCAAATGCTTTTCCGAGGTAATTGAATTACTTTGCCCATATAATTCGTATCTGACACTTTCAGGACGAGAAACGGATGATGATTGAGAGAGTCCGTGTCAACGAGACTGGTATTCAAAACAAGACTTATAAGCGGTACCAAATGCTGGAAACAGTATCAGACCCTATCGTGTGGTGTTATATAATGCTCTCAATCACCTCTACCTTGGTCATAGGTGGTCTCGGCGTCTTCTCCAACCTTATAATAGCTTCCTTCGGATTTTCGACCCTAGAGACACAATTGTTGAATATTGCTCAAGGAGCCGTCACTATTGTGGTTATGATCGGAGGTGCTACATTAGCTCAGTCTTCTAAGCAGACAATTTTGATTATGCATGTGCGCTGCCCCAAATCCTAGCCAACGAAGATGCGCTGACGTTTTTGCAGATTTGGACACTGTATGCCCACTTATTTCCACTCCTATTATCGTTAATAGCTGCTAATTGACTACAGTCCAGCAATTATAGGAACAGCAGTTATCTATTCAATCGCCCCGTCCGAAAAGACTAGAGTGGGGCTTCTGATCGCCTTCTATTGCACACAATTCATTCTTGCAGAGGGAAATCTTCTCTTCTCGGTGATTTCAAGAAATGTGGCCGGCCAGACTAAGAAGTCTACAACGCTTGCAATGACCTTCATTGGATGGGCCGCTGGAAATATGACGGCACCTCAAGTAAGAAACTCGTACTTCCCAACATCTTAACTTTGGGGTTTACTGGACGCGAGACTCTAACCTCAACCAGATCTTCCAAGACAGTGACAAACCAAGATACCGAAAAGGCTTCACAGCCCATTTCTGTCTCTATGTTCTATTCAACATCTTCCTGGTGGTACTTCGCATCCTCCTAACACGCCGTAACAAAGCAAAGCGTGATGCCGCAGCGGCCGTTTTGGCTAACGACGCCGCGCCAAGCTCGACCGCTCCAATTGATGAGAAGATTGATCATCAGCTCGCATTTGAAGATCTTACGGATAAAGAGAATCCAGATTTCAGATACGTGGTATAGGACTGTTCCTCGGTAATAGCTTCCTTTGAGACTAGACGCTGGAAGAGCAGGGATGAATTCCGAGTCAGATGACTAGCTAGGTAGATATTAGCCATTTACTTCGTATAAAGGGATTGATTTCCACCTGCAAGAGCTGCGTTTTGTATTTTTTGGTATAGCTGAGTTTCATGGTAGCACCGAAGCAAAAGAAACGAATCAAACAGAGTTGGACAGACTATTAGAACTTAGTAGTAGAATGTGTATTTTAATTTACTCGACTTCAGTTTTAATTACCGATGCTGCTGGTCTGCTACACACAAAAGCTTGTCTTACGTCGATCGCGATTTTGTGTTGGGTCAGCCCAGACTTAGATCTGGTGCCATGAATTTAATACTGTAGTAAATCTATAAACCCTCTGCACTTTTAGCACTAGGCTTTCTGTTCGTGGCACCTTCTAGCCGAGATTCAAGCGTTTCCTACGCTGTCTTAGTGGGGGAGGGGAGGGGGCTTCGTTTTCCACCTGTTCCTGAAAGAACGCCATTTCACAACACCAAGCCCGAAAGCCTGTTCACCATCCAAGTTATTCTATACCTTCCCCGCACGATGTTTCCGATACCGGCGGGGAAGTTGTCGGCCATCCCCCCCGGAGCAAAAGCTTCTAGCCTTTTGCAGGGGGTCGCGGGATAATCTAATTTACTCGGAAGCCGATGGCTAAATGAATCCCGAGAATAAGCAAATATATATTATGGTGCTGTAGAGCAGAATTACGTGACTGTAAGCAATATATATTGCCTACTAACGAAATGCGAGCCGCGTTATATCTTGCGTCGCTTTTCGCGCTCGCATCCTCTAATTCTGATTATGAAGACCATGAAGCTCCTCCTAGAGCCATTACACAAAATGGCACAGTTCAAGGGTTTCGTCTACCGGACTTCAAGGAGGATGTTTTCTTAGGGATTCCATTTGCTGCTCCCCCAGTTGGAGATTTGAGATTAAGACGTCCACAGCCGTACCTTAACACGTGGGAAGGTGTGAAAAATGCTACGGTTAGAAGCCCGAGCTGCCCTGGATACGCTGGTTTTGATGTTGGGCTGGCTCTGGGAGAAGGTGAATACAACCTGTGCTGCCTCTTTTGGAGATCTTGCTGAGTTTTGATAGACTGTTTGACATTGGACGTTGTCAGGCCCTCGGGTACAACGGCTGGACATAGACTTCCCGTACTAGTATGGATATATGGAGGAGGTACGGCGGTTTTCCCTCTCCCGAATTTACTCCTTATTTACATGACGTAGGATTCGATGCTGGGGGAAGTGCAGATTCGAGATACAACACCTCATACCTTGTTAATGCATCTGTTGCGATTGACAAACCTATCATAGTGATTTCAATCAACTATCGTGTAGGAGGATGGGGATTCTTGGCATCTGAAGAGGTTGTCGCAGCTGGCGAATTAAACATTGGACTTTTTGATCAGCGACTCGCACTCAAGTGGATACAAGAAAATGTATGGGCTTTTGGCGGGGATCCAAAGAAGGTCACCATCTCAGGGGAAAGTGCTGGCGGATTCAGCGTAGGCTACCACCTCACTGCCTTTGACGGCAAGCATGATGGTCTTTTCAGAGCTGCAATACTAGAAAGCGGCAATGCTTTAGGCCCAGGAAGTAAGTGACCTCAAACAGGTATGAAGACTTGCGTGTACTGATTGGCAGTCAACTCTATTGCGCAGCTCAATACGACATACCAACCAACTTTTGACAATGTTACGGAAACGGTGGGATGTTCAGAGGCAGCTGATCCACTGGACTGCCTCCGAACTGTTCCTTACGAAACGCTATTTGACGCTTTCTCGCCATTTGTCATGACTCCTGTCCTTGACGGGGAATTCCTCACCCAACTTCCCTCGACATCATTCAGCCTAGGGAAAGTTGCACCCGTTGCTATACTAGCTGGGTCGAACACAGACGAGGGTACTGCTAGCTTTTTCGGCCCGCGAAATAGTCTCAACACATCTAGAGATATCAGTGCGATGGTTTCCGGAATGGGAATTGGACTCAGCAACAGCACCGTATCGAAGATCATGGAATTGTATCCAGATGATCCAACACAAGGGTGTCCCTTCAACACTGGATCGGAGCGATTTGCTGATCAAGGGTATATGTATAAACGAGGAGCTGCCATTGTTGGGGATGAAGTGATTCATGCAGGACGCCGGTTCACTACAAAATATTACGCATCCTTACCGAATCATGTGCGGAATCCTGTATACAGCTATCGTTTTGATCAGCCGCCGTGGAACGGCATTGAGGAATACGTGGCGACGGTGGCACCTGTATTCGCAACCCATTATTCAGAGGTAAGTCTCTCACCAAGACATTATGTTCAATTCTAACATAGGAGAAGATCTGCTTTGTATTTAACATCGACCCAAGTGCCAGCACAGCTAACTCTAATTGGATCGGTCCGCATAGCGAGTATTATGATCTTTCCAACCTGATGTCAAGATCATGGATCTCTTTCGTGCACGACTTGAACCCCAATCACCACGGTGTTTGGGGAACTCCCATATGGCCTGAGTATTCTAATAGTCCGAGTAATTTTGTATTCAGGGTTGGAAAAAGTGAAATCGAGGTCGATAATTGGAGAAGTGCCCAGCTTGAGTTTTGGAGCACGATATGGGGACAATTGAAGACATGAGTCCGAATGTATTTTAAAAGCAATTACATAGAGCATCATCGGCTTTGAATAGTAAAATACTGCTGATTGACAAGTAGATGATATATATGAGGTATGTTGTGACTAGGAATTCACTTGTAGGCGCCAAAGATCAATGCCATCGTATTGCTGTCCTCTTTCTCCTCTTAGAAATTCTGGTAGAAGTCCCTTAGTGCTTATGTTAAGATGTATAGTTATAGATATCGATGTACTTAAGGCTTTCTCACTTTTGGGGGCGTCACTCCTCACGTGTCTCGGTTAAACCCCTTTACCACTTTAGAAGATTATTTGAGGCGTCTCATGGACAGAAAAACGACACCAATTCTTAATGTGCTAGGCAGATGGGGACTTTAAATGGCGATGTGACAAGCGCCACTTTTCAAGTCTAGCACGAGGGTGAAGAATGCACTCAGTATTATCAGATCAAATTATTCGAGGATCTTTGTAGGATCCTAGTAGCCAAGAATAGCTTTTACTTGTAAACCAATCTAACTACTGAAATTAGGCCTCCAAATTGTGATGTTATGCGCTGTTGTAGTTCCCAGTGCCATTAGCGCCAATTTTCCCGCCGCCCCAAATTGTTCTCTCATTATCATTAATGAAATCTCCTTTCCCTGGGTATGACCAAAGCAGATCTCCCCAGCTTGGCTGATCTGCTGAACTGCTCCCCGTCACTTGTAAAGTCAGCATTTATCCAGATTCATGAAGTTCTCTTTTCACTTACCATGCTGCTCCCCGCCAGACGCATCATAGGCCTGTTTTGCTTTCGTGGTCCACGGCGCGTCAAGACCCCTCTTGATGACATATTGATAGTATATGATCTGTATGGTCAGAAAGTTTTCAATCTCCACAGAAAAGCCCACTTACATCCCAAACTGCAGGGCCTTGTGCAATACCACGACTGATATTTGAAGGTGCAGACCATGGTCCATTGATGAGGATCGCTTCACAACGATAAAACTTCGGGTCATATGGAACATCGTTGCCTAGATTGTAATTGGCAGAATATTCAGAGGCGTTGAGAAGGAGATTATCCCCAAGAGAATAAATGTCAACGCCTTGAGACTGAACTACTCTTGCCGCAAGAGCCGTCCACCCAAGCCCTGCGAGAGCATGTCCTTGGTCTCTGCCTGTCTCGGCACCTTGCCCTGTCTCGGATTCGTAATTGCCGAATAAACCAGCACAGAGGTCATTCTGGTATGCGTTTAGAGCATAGTTGTACTTTTTGATCTTAGCCGAGACAGTCTCATTTATGAAGGATAGACTTACCATGGAGACATCATCAAGATAAACAGCGAATGATAGAAGAGCTTTTATACTAATCATTCCATAGTTTGCTTGTCCTATGATGATCGATTGCCGTGCAAATAGCCAGTAGAGCTGATTGGAGAAGCCAGACCCACCGGAAGCGTGCGCACCTTGCTCAACCCAGTTGCCTTCCCATCTCATGATTTCAGCAGCATTTACAAACATGTCTCCTTCAAGACCCACCAAGAGTGAGGTATCAGTCCCAATAATGTCTGTAAGATTTGATCCCCAAGCATCAAGTATAGTGGTAGAACGGTCCCAGTGGCTCTGGTTTCCAGTTATGTACCACATGAGTGCATTTTGATATGCCGCGCGAACATCATTAGTGAAGCTAGAGTAGTTGCTACATGGCCCTCGACAGAGAATGGTCGTTGGCCCTTGCATTTCATACTATATATTTTATCAGCAGTTTCGAATGTGGAGTAAGAGATGGATCTCACGGAAGCTTGAGAGAAAGAATCTGTGCTGAAATTGACAAACGCAGTCTTCCATGGATCGAGCCCATTAGTGACACCAAGTCTGATTCGTTCCAAATCATCATGAGTATGCCATAGGCCAGGGTGGATGAATTGCCCGACCCTGCTCTTTGCACCGAAGATATTCCCGACTGGATTAATTGGCCCATTGAGTATTGGAAGACCGTTGAGACCGCCTGTTGCAAACCCGGTCTGCACAAAGCATCCTAGCAAAGCAATAAATATCAAGCCCTGCACCTAATTAGCAGAATTTCTTGAAGAACAGTAGAAGATTTGGAGTGGGCATATTTTAAATGACTACTCAACTGACTACCATACCTTCATAGTTGGAATCGGGGTGCTCAAGTGGTTTGTTGACAGCTCTTTAGCCAGGACTCAGGATCGTAAGACTTTTGACAGGGAAATATATTAACCATATTATAGGAAAGATCGCCCAGGTTAAGTACCCGTTGTAGAGCACGCACGGTATACGTCGGTTAGATGCTGGCTGTAGGAATCATGCACACCCCACATTCCCCAGTTGGCGATTTCCTCCGCAATCTGCAGCTGCATGCCAAGAGATTGAAATGACGGAGGTATCTCGCGTTCGACACCCACCACGCGGGGGAAATGCCGGAAGTATTATCCAGATCTAATCTAATTATAGACTTTTTACTGTGATCTAGTTACGTTTATAATAATCTAAAAAGTACTTTCCAGGTATTTTTTCAATCACGATTAATAAATAGGTTTAAGTATGTGGGACCAATAAGTGCTTAGTCTAAAGAATGCTCAAATTTCTCACTGTGGTTTCTATCCGATTACTGCCCAATTCTTTATTTCCCCCGACGGCCCTTATTTTGTAGCCTTGTGAAGATTTTGGTTATAATCTCGGAAGAAGTCTCGGGAAAAGAAATATGTAAGAATTATTATCTCTAAAACGCCTGGTCCGGACTTGAACTACGCGAAGTTTTACTTCACGAATGAAGGCGGAGTAATCCGGGGTTGTTATTAGACTACGGTAGTTCCTTTTAAAGACTTTCACCTAGTAATAAGTTCTTCTTCGCTTTTATTACATCTACTCTTTCATAGAACCGTCTAAACATTTTCAGAAAGATTCCTTAGATGCCTAGGTATGCTAGTGTTTTAAGCCCTTTATAGGTGCAACCTCAAATAGTCATAGCTCTTAGCGAGGCTAATAAGTAGCATAACTAGGAGATGTCACCGGGCAAATGCAAAGTATGCAGAGCAAAAGCCTGAATCTGATACAAGAAGAATTAAGTAAAGAGAGAAGAGAAGCTTCTCTCGCAGGAATTATTTAAAAGGGGTTTCTTAGCTTCCTAGGGAAGCGAGATTGAAATCACGTCGTGTATGCGAAGTCACGTGCATATGTACCACGTGCCAAGCCTTAACATCAACCCGTCACAGGAGAGGCTAATATTAGCTCTATTTGCAATACATTAAGAAGTTCGTTTTACGTCGAGTAGCAGATCGCGAATCTATTACTAATGTAAGGATACAGTTTAGTGATGCAGATGGTATATAATATCAACGTAGACTTTATTAGACGATTTGGGAGATTTTAAAAAGGGGGGTTTATGTCACAGGTATGATCTATACGTGACATTTAACCTCAGGGGGTCTTAGCACCATACTAGCGCAGCCTACAGGTGGTACTGCTAAGAGTTATAATTTTTCAGATTTCCATCTTCGTATCCTATAACAATAAAACATAAAGCTAAAGCCCCCTATCCCGTAGAGTTGCCGGTTGCTGATGCTGATCGGTTGCCCAGGGAACCCTTCTAAGGCAATTAGGGGTGTGATCACGTTTTTTCGTGTGATGCACGCGCCTCCTGCCCTGCTCTTGCTCCTTTCCACTCCTTTCCTCTTTTATCTTCTTTCAACTTCAACTTCTCATCCAGCATCACCTTCTGGTCTCAAGGGAATCCAGTCGAGAATCCAAGGCAACTTGTCATTCATCTTCTGACCTTTCTTCCTTTTCGACCTCAATTCACTTCGACCGATTCATTCACCTCTCCACCTCCACCTCCGGCTTGATTTCTTCTTTTTCTTGAATCTCAGCCATCAATTCTGTGGGTGAAGCACTCCGATCATTCCGTCTCCACCAACTTCAATCTATACTATTAGTCGTTTGTTCTGTCTTTTCTGTCTTTTCTGTCGTTGCAAACGGCGAGAGTGTCTGCAACTGACTATAGAAACAGTGTCATCCGGGCATCCCATCCCATCGTCTTCCATTCCATTCCATTCCATTCCATCCCATCCCATCCTACAACAACATGTGCTACATCAAATGGTGTAGGGCATACGGAATGATCTGTGACAATCCTGCCAAATGGTTTGGTGATGCTGTCCTCGATGACAGAGACAAGGCTCTACTCACCGGAGATCGGGCTGCGTTCCTTGAGTACAGCAGCTCAAGCTACTTGCGAAAGATGGTATGTTTCTCTCCCTGCTGCTGCTGCTGCTGCTGCATAGTCGCGCTAATCAGTGCAACATAGTATTGTTTGAAGAAGGACGACGGCGACAACTTCCAAGATCTTGACTGGACTGTCGAGAATAACGAACGATGCAAGGAATATGTCCATTCTGCAGGTGGAGAATTGCATGGTGATAAGAAGTCTGGTTCATCCATTTGGCAATTGATGACAGGTATAGACCGATCCCACCAAAGTTACCTGGGACTCTTCATGTGCTGACAGTTCTAGTCAATGTCCACATTACAGGAGCCACTGGTGCCGGATTCGCTTGGGGCTTCTTGGCCACACAGGCAAAGAATATCCGTATATTCAAGGGTCCTGCAGAGACGTGCGACATTCATCCATGGGATGCCATGATCTTGAGGGACTGCACGCCGAATACCGATAATCTCATAGTTGTGGATGCTATTCGCTCTCGCAAGTGGGACGTTCTGGTGATGAAGATGTGTGAGGATCACGATCGTAAGGGCTCCGAAGTACCACAATCACTTTTGATGCACACACAGGCTAATACAGACTGATGGTAGATCCCTGGATTGTTGTCTCGGTCCAAGATGCTGGAGAGGCCTTGAGTGAGGATGGTTGTGCGTGTGGGGGACATACTTGAATGGACTGTGCTTGACGAGGATGGTTCCTGATGCCCCTTGACTGAGACATGACCAACTGATTCAAATGTATTTGATGGCAGGTATCGTAGCCTTCCTGATGAATGTAAGCTGCTACCAAGATTCTACCCATTTGAGGAGCTGTCGATAGACCTTTGAAAGAAGATTTGATACCCGCGGAGGAGTGGAAGGATCATGTTGCGGTTTGAAGAGCAGTTGTTGAGATGGTGAAGTCGAGGGCTGCTAGTAAAAGGCATAAGAGAAAATTTTAATTACGGCTTGGGCGAATTTAGGAAAGAGATAAACTTTGCAGGTTTGCACAAGGGTACGAAGACTCACAAAGAGTGGAAATACGGTTGCAATCAGTCGAACTTTGCTATACGCCGGTTGATTATCTCCAAGTTGTGCCAGGGGCATTATTTATAGCGAAGTCTTGCTGTTCAAAATCAGGCTTATCAATGGTCGTTTTATGTAGTTGAGCAGGAGTAGGCAAAGGGACAAGAGCTATGCCTTCAGTCCCGAGAACATCCACATCTGTGGCTTTTTATGTATGAGGAAATACTTGCTGTCTCGTTTTCGCCTGTTTGATATTGCATATCGATATAGTTGAGTAAACTGATCTTATAGTTGATACTAGCATTACTTGAGCGCAGCAAACTAGAACATTTCGGATAAGCTGACATCTTCCATATACTTTTTGTAGAAAAATACAACATTAATAGTCGTTGGTCTTAGCAACACTGTCAGGTGGACTGTGGATGGGGTGGAAAATAGGATGCATTATCTACCTAGGTAGGTAGAATGGTTTCCGCCCCGTGAGCCTATAAATACCTAGGTAGGAGGTAGGTACGCTAAGGTGGTGCTAACCCCCCCCCCCTCATTACTTGCACGTGGCTGTCGACCTGCTTAACATTACATATCCGAGGAAGGATTGTACTTTTAAATTATCAGATAAATCCGCAGTGATCCTGTATATTATATATTGCCGAAAAGAATACAGAATCAAACACTTGGTGGGTGACGGTTTTATTGGACGTCGATACACGAGCTTCAGTTACTTCACTAATACAAGTACGAACGGAGCCACATCTGTCAGCCACGCCAAGTCGGGGTAGGGAAATACTTTGTAGGCACTTTATTTAGAAAAGATTGGCAGAAAATCAATGCTACGGTAAAAGTTGCGAGTGCCAAGTTGCCAAGTTGCCAACTTTCAAGCCGTGCTGCCAGGATCATATTCCCCGGTTTTCAACGTTTCCCGTTTTCTAACCCCTGCACAAATGCGTCATAATCCACACCCACCATATACAGGATTTGCCCGCGTTCCTTTTGGTTTTCTCTATAAAGCATCCAGAAAATCTATCTTTTGAGGAGTAAGACTTCTCTTTTTCACAAATCGTCTCTCTGAATTATCATCAGGTACACACCAAATCCTATTTGCTCCACGAACCATGTCTAACGAGTATGTGTCCCAGCTTCCTATCCACCCTTTTCGATTCCGAGTCTGATATTTTCGCGTAGCAAAAAGCAACCCAGAAAAGCAGAAGCAGAGGTCCCACAAGAGGAAGAGGAAGAGCAAGAGCAAGAGGAACAGCAAGAGGAACAGGCCGCTGAGCAAACAGAAGTCGAATCCGAGCCTGAAGAGAACGATACCAAAGTAGACAACGACAACGAGGACGAGGATACCGAACCCAACAACAAGGGCGAAGATACCAAACCCAACGAGAACGAAGATACCGAACCCAAAAAGGACGAGGAATATCAATCGGAAGAGGAGTCTGAGCTACAGGTCGAATCAAAAGACCAACCACCGCAGTCCTCCGAAGCCGAACCAGAGGTCAAGCAACAGAAGCCCCGCAAAAAGAACCCCCCCACCAAGACTCAAGCACCCCCCGCCGCCAAGAGAACAATGGCAGATCAACAACAGC